GGTAAACTAAGGCCTGGGGTCTGGATCCGGCCCTATCACCTTCTAAATCCAGCCCATGGACGGTCCGGGAATCAGCATGTTTTACATGTGTAGAATGTGTGATTTTATTTAAAATGCATCTCTGGGTTATTTGTGGGGCATAGGAATTCAGTCATCATTTTTTTCAAAATATAGTCCGGCCCCCCTCAAGGTCTGAGGGACAGTGGACCGGCCCCCTGCTAAAAGTTTGCTGACCCCTGGCCCTAGATAGACTCTTGTTCACTCAGTGCTCATTCTAGATAGCAGCACTTTTTGGACACAAAATTGTTTTATTAGGCCACATATATTCATTCTGATGAGTAGTTTGGGGACAGAATACTGTGGGTCAATGGCTAGACATGAAACATTTAAAAGAAGGAATAAGATGAATAAATAAAAGGCACTACTAATAGCCTCCAATACTTTGACCACCTCATGAGAAGAGAAGACTCCCTGGAAAAGATGTTGGAAAAGATGGAGGGCACAAGGAGAAGGGGATGACAGAGGACGAGATGGTTGGACAGTGTTCTCGAAGCTACCAGCATGAGTTTGACCAAACTGCGGGAGGCAATGGAAGACAGGAGTGCCTGGCGTGCTCTGGTCCATGGGGTCATGAAGAGTTGGACACGACTAAATGACTAAACGACTAAACAACAACAACAACAACTAATAGCCTTGCTTGCACACAAAGCATTCCACCTTTGCAGATGATAAACTTAGCCATAGATTTTAAACAGTGTGCTTCTACTGATTTTTGCTGGTTTTCAGTTGCTGGGTTTGAAATGCAAATCAGTTCAATCTGCAGTGCTCCAGTGTATTATGAACTGAGACTCATTTCCTCAAGACCACCATTTTCGTTTCAGACTGTACCATGCTATTCTGCACACGAGTGCTTAGTATTCAGTCTGACCAAGCTGCTTCGTAGCTGCATCTGTAAAAGTTCTGTAAGGTTAACTACTTACTTGAACAATCATAACTATAGAAAGCTGGCGTAACGTATGCCGGCTTAGTTGCTCCTATTCCAAAATCCATTCAGGAGGAATTTGACTTAAATCATCCTTACTGCCAGCTAAATTCCACTGAATTCCTCACATGGCTGAGCTAAAAGAACTGTAAATCTCTCCTTGCCACCACCATATCCCCATTTGGAGACTTAAGTTCTCCTGGCTGAGCCTTGGCCAGTCAGGGTGAGGGACGCAGGTTTGCATAGGCCTCACTGAGCTCTGGCTCAGCCAGCAAAGCCCAGGATTTACCAAATCCAAACTCAGTGAAACTATCCTTGAAACTCTGACTGATTGTCCCAAGACAATATGGAACGCACAGCAAGCTCTAGGTACAAGCACCAAGTACAAGTACGTACTTTATGCTAGCTTAATTTAACCTGGTGTAATTTATGCTGTTTTCCCTTCCTTGGGATTGTTCGCTTAATGATGAGGACCTTCCTGGAATTATGAGGGTTTTGCAATCCCCCTCTCTTCTCTATATCCGTTGAAATGTCCTTCTGCAAGAAAGTAGAGATAAAAGGAAGTTCTATTGGCATTTTGAAAGGCAACTTTCTGAACAGAGAATGGACATGTAAATTTGTTTTGAGACACTGATAGATTGAAACAGAACATTATCGGAAACTGTGCGATAATGGCAACTTCAAAACGAATGAAGAAAGATTACGGTTGTTATGGGATCTTTACTAAGGGTAGAGACGCCTGGCAACAATCTATCTTTAGATCATTTATTCAGTTCTGATTGAGGTTCTCTTTGCTTTCTGTTACAAAGCAAAGCCTGATGGGATCTTCTACAAATGTTTCATAATCATTCATATGCAAAGTAGAATGCTGGGACTACTGGGATGATCCTAAAGGGAAAAAGAAAACAAAGGCACTCATTAATTTCCCATTTAAATCTGGCCCAAATAAGCAAAAACACCAAAATGCATTTGGCTACTGGGCTAAAGCCCTAATGATAATGTTTGTAGCACCTTGGCTGAGCCATCACTCATCCAGCATAATCATACTCCTCTTACCTCCCCAAATCCAAAGACGCTTTTACACTTTAACTGCTGCTTTGTGATGCCAGGGTGTGTTGATCCAACCCAATTTCATTGTTTGGGCTCATTCATTTTGACAGCATGAGCACAAATAATCCAGATTGTGGATTTGTCTTTGTCCTCATCAGAAACAGTCTGTGATAGCAATCTTTTCTTAATTTATTTATTTTAAAGATTCCCACACCACCCTTCATCTGAGCGTGTTCTAGGATGGCGTGCAATGTGCGTGAATAAAACTATTAATACCAGATAGAAATACAACAGATGAAACATTCCTAATGCATTAGCAAAATGAGAAGGAGCAACAACACTTCAAAAATATTGTGTAGGTTAAACAAGTCCATTTAATGCTGCATGGGCAAATAAAAAATGTTCTAACTTGGTGCCAAAAATATTGTAATGTCAGTGTTGGTCATACCTCTTGGGAGAAGGTGTTCTAGAGCTGGGGCATTGCCACAGAAAGGGCCCTTTCCTTTGGAGCTACATAGCACAGCTTCCTTTAGGGAAAGTAGTTGTAAAAGTGCCCCAATGAACAACCTTGGCATGGGCAGGCAGGGTTGGGAAGGAGTGTGCCTTCAGATACTTGGGTCTCAAGCCATTCAGATCTTTAAAGGTGTGTATCAGCACTAGGAACTGGGCTCAGAAGTCAACAGGAAACCAGTGTAGCTCTTTCAGTATGAAGCATGGTGACCAGGTAAGCATTGTCTGGGAAATGACCACAGTTGGTACATCAGATGAAGCCAGTAGAAGGCACTCAATGCCACCTGGGCCTCACATGACAATGTTGTTTCAAGAAGCATCCCGAAGCTGTGTCCTTGATCTTTTAGGGCAGCGGTTCTCAACCTGTGGGTCCCCAGATGTTGTTGGACAAACAACTCCCATCATCCCTGAGCCTTGCTAGCTAGGGGTGATGGGAGTTGTTGTTCAACAACATCTGGGGACCCACAGGTTGAGAAAGGCTGTTTTAGGGGGAGTGTAGCCCCATCCAGAACAGGCTGAGCATAATCCCGCCCCCATCTTGTCAGAATTCAACATTATTGATCCTTATCCAGCCTGTTACTGAACTCAGTACATTGGCTCAGCCTCATTTGACCCCGATGACAGAGAGAAAGAGCTGGATGCCTGGAGTAAGATACGGTATCTTACTCCAAACTCCTATATCACCACACCTTCTGGGGTCATGTGGGTGGTGTTCATATAATGTTCAAGAAATTTGGGGATACAATGGAACTTATATAAGCCCTATAATGTAAGAGACATGGGGTCAAACAGAGCCCACCCATGCTACTTTCTGAAACTGCCCCTGCAGGTAAAAATGGAGCTACTGCATGACTGTGCCCCCTACACCCAACCTGCAGAGGCATCCCATAAGATACCATGGGTGATGCTATCAAAAGCCACTGAAAGATCAAGCAGAGTCAACATGGTCTCACTTCGCCTGTCTCACCACATCCCTGTAAAAAAATTAAAAAGTACATCTATCAGGAAAACAAAGGACTGCATTCATAAGTATGGGTTTGTCTGATCATCAATTAACAGTGCCAACAAAAACAAAATGGGCATAACTCACAAGGCCATTATCCTATGAATATAGTTTCCCTTTCTTCATAGCAGTTGTTCTGTAGTGTTAAAATGAGCACAAAACTGGTTGCAGCTAACACAAGGAAGCTTTGTAGCAGAGCACTAGAGCTGCCAGAGAGCTTAAAAGGTAAAGGTAAAGGTACCCCTGCCCGTACGGGCCAGTCGTGTCCGACTCTAGGGTTGTGCGCCCATCTCACTTAAGAGGCTGGGGGCCAGCGCTGTCCAAAGACACTTCCGGGTCACGTGGCCAGCGTGACGAAGCTGCTCTGGCGAGCCGGCACCAGTGCAGCACACGGAAACGCCGTTTACCTTCCTGCTATAAAGCGGTACCTATTTATCTACTTGCACTTAGGGGTGCTTTTGAACTGCTAACTGGGCAGGAGCTGGGACCGAAAGACGGGAGCTCACCCCGCCGCGGGGATTCGAACCGCCGACCATGTGATCGGCAAGCCCTAGGCGCTGAGGTTTTACCCACAGCGCCACCCACGTCCCTTGCCAGAGAGCTTAGCCATAGAGAAAAATGGGCAATGCCATGGGTGTTGTGTTCAAAGGTATTGGCAAGAAGGCCATCATCGTGTGTTGGAAATGGCAAGATATCCTGCTGTTCTGCCAGGAATGGAAATCTTACTAAGAAAACAAGTGGCTTCTGTTAAGAGAAAAAGCTGGACCATATTAAAAAATTAAGCACCAACCCTGGTTTCTCTCCCCCCACCCCATGAATCTGAATTGGATACGTCCTGAAGTATCTAGGTGCTTTTCAAAAAATTCAGTATATTGTGGCTTTATTTCTAGGTTCCTGGGCACGACATGAAGCCATATGCTGTAGCAATCTTCTTCATGCTAAGATGTCTGGCTTTTGGGGATGAGAGTCAGAATCTCCAAGTATGCCATCTTGGCTCTCATGGAAGAAAAGTGGGAGATAAATGTAATAAATAATGAAATCAGATAAATATTTTAAAACCTAATAACTGTGACTATCCAGTAGTGTTGTTCAGCAGCATTCTGGGTCTGTTATCCACAATACAGTATTTTGATGAGACAGTTCACATCACCTTCTTCTTTTAAAACCCTTTCTATTGTTTACTTTCCAATATCCCTGCTCATCTTGTGTTTTCATTATTTATTACTGAACAATTTCCCATTACAATAACCCTGCTGAAGTTGTGCCTAGTAAAGACTTTCTGCATTATTATATGCATGATCAGTCCCATTAGGAACAAATATTTTGGAGTTGTCTAGCTGAACTACAAAGCTAAATATGCTGCCGAATGAAAAATACTTGTACTAATTTAAAGGACAATATTCCAGAAGCTTTTAAGGCACGCCATACCTTATCAACTGCTTTAACTAGTATATTTCACTGTGTTTGTGATATATTCATTTCATAGCTGTTTTGGCAGTTTTCTTCAGGAGACAGATTCTTTCCATCATTTAACACCTGTGAATTAACTGAGCCTCTAGCTGAGCAGGACCTATTAAATACAAACAGTCATCACCCACCTGTCAAATGAACATGCACATTTGCTGTATGTGGAGTCATGCTATTGATCTTTCTAGCAGAGTACTGCTTAGTCCGCTTTGACTGACATTGGCTCTCTGAGGACTCACGACTTTGCTGGAACTGCCCCCAATATCCTCTTAACTGGAGAGGCCAGGGATTGAACCTGAGACTTGTTCGTGTTAAACATGTGCGATACCATCGAGTTATGAGCCCATGAAGTGACCTAAAATTTAAAGCATGACTGGGATGGTCAGATGCAAAAGTGGGGTCCTTTAAACAGTTGTGCTGAATAGAGAATTTATCAGGTGTAGCCTAAAAGGTGTAGCTTTCAGAAGGTGACAAGCTTTCATCTTTTGCACTACTTTAGCAATGCCTTAAAACTGAGAATAGTGTTTGGGGTGATGTCCTGCTTTGTTGCTAGGGATGCAAGAAGGCAGCAATTTCGTCTCTAACCTGTATACATCACAGTTGATGTAGTTTCCATTCTGTTGCAGTTTGGTTTCTGCCAAGTTCTATGCTATTTGCCTCCCTGTCTGCTATTTAACTTTTAAGATATGTAACTTACATAATTGACATTCATTTCAATGTAAAAGAAGCATTAAAATAATGTTTAAGAAGCTATTATGTTATCAATTGTGGACTAAAACACAATAATGATGTGAAGAAATACCAGTCATAGTCGGTTAACTGTTGCTGCCTAGAAACATGTAAACTGCAGCAATTTCTGCTTCATTTTCCAGTTTTTGTCAGAATTCTCTGACATCCCTAATTGTTCTTCATACTACATAGATAAATTTTATTGTATGTTTATTTAATGTGGCAGTTGAGACTGTAAGAAAGTGTAAATTATTCCTTAAGAAAGTCATGAAGGTGGTTGAGTTCACATGTAACACCATGCCATGGTTTATAAACCATAGTTTAGTAAACCATAGGTTGACTGTCTATATCTGACCTGCAGTTTAACTATACTGTATTAGCCATAAGCAAACCACACTCGTAAGCCATGGTTGGTTGGTTGTTTACCAACCTTGGTTTATGCTAACCATTGTTAGCATTATGTGCAAACCTGGACCTTGTCCTTAACTATGTATTAGAACTCAGACTCGCCTAAAAGCCATAGAGTCGTGAGTAAAGAGCAGCTCTAAAATGAAACTTTTAAGAAGGCTTAGTGGAATTTAATATATTGCCTGTACACTGCAAGCCAATACATGTTTACTCAGAAGTAAGCCTCATTTATTTTAACAAGGCTTACTTCCAAGTAAGTGGATATAGGACTGCAATCTAATTAGTGTGAGTACTGACAAAGCCTTGCTAATTCATTGCTTGCCCAGCTTTGAGACTGCAATGATGTTATTAATCATTGCGCTCAGGTACAGAGGCCAAACATATAAATTAGTTCAAGATAGGTGTTTCATTGTTTTTTCCCTTAGAACCCTCCCAATGGAGATAAGTTTTAGACTATCCACAGGGCAACAGATAGATTTTAGTCTCAGGAAAGTTTCACTGATTACATATTATTTGACAGGTGCAATAATATAATGAACCTCAATCAGGCAGCGCACACTTAGCAGAGGATGTTAAAGAGATTCATTTAGTAGTCGTGCCATGTGAAGTATTCACATTGGATGGGATAGGAGCAGATGCAAGGTTAAAAACACTCCCCCCTCCAACGGCACGTTCACACACAAAAAGTACATCACTATGTCCCTGAGACGGACGCTGAGCATGACAGCTGTTTTCACCTTTATGTGTGAGCCATCTCAAGTGACTCAAGACATCAAAATCAATTTAGTGCAACTGTATTCTGCAAATGCCCTTTTTCTCCTCCAAAGAACGTGCTGCTTCACAGAAGCATAATAGGAGCCTATTTCTTGCTTATGGACTTTGTTCAGTTTCTGTGGGTAACAGATCAGATGGAGGACTGCACATGATCCTTAATCATGCAAGTTAGAAGAAGGAAGGTAGGTAATGGGGGGGTAAACACCTCAAACATTTCTTCACTTACACAAACTAGAGCCCAACTCCATGGACATTTACTCTGAGTTCAATCGGGCTTACGTCCAAGTAAATGTCACAGAATTGCAGCCCTCAACCTCATACCAAGAAGGTCCTGGTTTCAGAATGATTCTCTATGCTATATTGCAGATCTTCAAAGGAAAAGGAATACACACAGTTGCCTGCATATGGCAAAAGGTGGGCATGATTTCTGAAGGGCATCAAGACCAAGGTTACTGTGGTTTTTAAGAGTTGACATTCTGCCACTTTACAGAACAAAGGTTTGTGCACCCAATGACTGGGTGAAGCCTTTCTAATCACTTGGTGACAGGATTTTCTAAAGGCAGAACCTCTTTTAAAGAGAACAAAAATGCCAGTTCCCCACCCACTCTAGGTTTATATTATCAAAACGGGTGTTAGAAACAGTGATATGAAAGCTAGGAGCTAAATGGCATGTCTAGGTGCGCTTTTTTTAATTTAACAATAATACAAAGCGGAAAATGAATGAACTGCAGCTAAAATGTTATGTTCATTTGTCACATGGTCTAATCCTTCCCTTGCCTTACCCCCCTAATATTCTTAAGAGGGTCTCTTCTCCAGTCTTCAGAAAGTAGCTGGAAGTGGGGAGCAAGAAAAAAAGCCCTCCTTTCCTTCCACTCTGCAGTTTTAATCTGAAATCATGGGTGCAGTACTGCGCCCAGAGCTCAGAAGCTGCTTGCGCTAATGAAATTCCTTGTCGCAAAATGTGCCTATAACAGTGGGAGTTTCGAACACTGATCAAAACACCCTGGCCTCTGTTTCACATCCAAATTACCCGTCAAAACTCATTTTCTGTTTTATTTCTAACTTTTGTTATCGTATTACCCCATGGAGAATGCAATCTTCTTGCATATCATTTAACCAAACCTGAGCATATGCATCTTTCTTTTTCGTTCCCTGGTAACTTACGTACTTAACCCCTTTCCTATGAAGTCTGCCAAAACAACATTAAAAATAGATTGCTCCCCCCCCACCAAAAAACCCTGCATGTAGAGCTTCAGTTACAGTGATTTATTATACATGAAAAATACAACAACCACCCCTTCAAAGGTGAATATTTTTTTCCCTTCCTTTGGTAGTGTTCAGATGACTATATATTTGAAATGCAGCTGTAGGCACAAAGACTTGTATTGGTACGAAAGTTAACAGGGAAATCAAACTTCATTCAGCCCCAGCTGCCCAGCCTTGCTCAACATTCATTTTCAGAGCTACTTTCTGGCGTTCAAAAGGCTTTCATGGCTGCTATGTAGGAAAAAAGATGGTTTGTACAATAGCTGGAGGAGAATGAGGTCGGGAAGGTGATTACAGGCAGAAATGGCACAAGTTGATTCAGTGAAAAAAGAATAAGAAAAGTAATCTTGTAGCCTTGGCAGCTTTTGCTTATTGCACCGGTAGTCTGACGGCTGTAGGGTGTTAGCCATGTGATACTGGCCTTGGCCTCTCCTCATTGCAAAGGAAATCGCCATCACTGAGTCCTGTGACAATTCTCAATCCTTTCATTTAATGTATACTCAACAGGCATCTGTTTTGATTGCCAAATAGATGAATTGAGTGGTGTGTCATGAACACAGAACAGACAATATGTCTGCATGCCTACTCTATGTGACTTCTTGTTATGTAAGTGAGACGGTGCAAGAAAAATAGTATCAGGTGACTTTTCAATGTATTGCAATAAGTTCCTAGGTCTGTCTGTCCTTTGGATTATGGGCCGTATTCTACCAATGAGTCCTGTCACTTGCACAGTGAGATTTCTCCCTCTCTCTTTCCTCTGCATTTGCCCCACACCCTCTCCAAATCTGCTGCTGAGGGTTAGAGGAACGCTTAGATTGAGAGCGAAATGTGGGGCAGGGGACGGGAGGGGGATAGCATTCCATTGTACAAGCAGAGATCCTTGCCCTGATGGAACATTTGCTACGTTGGGATTCCACTCGGCTCCTAAAATGGAGATCAATGTAGATAGCCTCATGGACTGCTTATCATGAAACTGGTCTACAGTGGTACCTTGGTTCTCAAACTTAATCAGTTCCAGAAGTCCGTTCCAAAACCAAGGCAGGCTTTCCCATAGAAAGTAATGCAAAATGGATTAATCCATTCCAGACTTTTGAAAACAACCCCTAAAACAGCAATTTAACATGAATTTTACTATCTAACAAGACCATTGATCCATAAAATGAAAGCAATGAACAGTATACTGCAGTCACACAATCAATCAATCAATCAATCAATCAACCAACCAACCAGTAGCTGAACTGGGTTCCACACAGTCACAAAAACAAAACAAAAAAATGCCACAAAAATGCAAAATGACAAAAACAGACAGACCTCAGCGTAAAACTCAAATCAGGAAGCGTAACAATCAAAACCGAGCACGTTCAGCTTCCGAAAAAAGTTCACAAACTGGAACACTTACTTCCCGGTTTGCGGTGTTTGGGTTCCAAGTTGTTTGAGTACCTGACCAATGCACAGAGGGGAGATTGTCCCCTTCTCGATTTTTCGGAAAATAACAATTTACTTTTATGTCTAATTGAGGAAGAAAAGCTGCAACTTTCCTTCAGGCTGCACATGTGAGTATAGACAACTCCTCATTTACACACAGGGCCAGATACCTGAAAGTGGTACCCGGAAAGGGAGAATCCACCTGGCTCAGAAGGAGACCCTCTCTGGAGCCCAAAGAGGACATCTTCTTCAGGCTCCATGTGAAACATGAATAAAATTTGAGGGGAATGAGCAAAGAGAAGCCTTAGAATGCATATAACCTTGCATGAGAGAAATCTGCCCCTCTCAGTCAGATTTCATTTGTCGAATTCCCTCCTGACTATTGACTTTAGCTTTAAGAAATCAAGCTCCCTTCTCTTGTAAAAGCAGATGGAATTGCGAGATCTGGAACTCAAAGACCTTTAGGCCATTAGAGTGGTAGTTAAGGGCATTGTGCAACCGTTTTCTGGGGAAGACATTTCCATACCTCAGCACTATAGAGGGAAAGCTCTTATGTGAATTTCAGGAGTCATGGTAAGTGAAGGGGTATAATGAAACCAGGCAAGCAGTCCTTCTGCCTGATTTTAAAATTTAATGGAATGTCTTCTCATTCTCTCATTAACGTTATTATGTCAATTGTTCCGTTCTGCTGAAATGCAAGATTTCAGTTTGACTTAGACCAGCCAACGTAGCGGTATGCTTCAGGGTATTAATCAAAGTAAATTTTTGTAGCCTTTGTGTGTTAATCTAACTGGGTGTTTTGATCTCTATTATCTGAATTTCAGTAGTCTTAAGAGGTCAGCAGCATGGAGCTCTGGTGGTCTACGCTATTTAAAGTCTATTTAGAGAGTTCATAAAGGCAATTTTAATAAGCCAAGGCAATGAGCTAGGCATCTGAGTGGAGGTGGGTGTGGGTGGGAACTTGAAGGACAAAACCAGAGCTATTCTATCCCTTAATCTTAACAATGCAATCCCATCCACAGCCATACATGTTCATAGGGATGTTTTTCCAGGTCAGCGTGTATAGGATTGCAGCTTAACCCATTTGTATAGAAATAAATTAACATTGATTCCAATGAACTTTATACTAAGTAATATATCTTATTAAAGACACCCTCTTCAAAATATCCTAAAGCTATCTAAGCATTTTCATTTTTTTTCTATAGCAAAGGTGGGAGATTAATACATTTTGATATGTATATGTGGCAAGGAAATTATAGGAAATAATGTTTGCAAAGGGTTAGTTTAAAGTACATATTCCTTGTCAATGTATATTCTTGGTGTGCTGTTTACTGGATTATTTATAAAGGTTACAATTTAAGCATTACATGTTAATTTGATTTTAATAGGATCATTAACACACTTGCATTATAATTAATGGATCATACATTTTAAACATGCTTGACTTTGGCTGGATTCTGCCCTTAGATTCCACCCCTCCCTGCCCCACCAAACTTCTCCTGAAGGTTCAGTATAAATAATAGTGATTTTAAATCTTAAAAACCTACACAAACTCTTAAAGCTAAAACCATAAAACAACAATCTTTATGGTTAAATCCACCCATTAGCTTAATCATGACCACAAAGTGGTGGTCTAGTATGAAGACCTTTACGGAACCACCAGAAGATGCTTCTCCATTAGGGTTTTTGGTTGCAAGATATTGCAAGGACCAAAGACTAATGGTTGCATCATTATTCTTCAATATATAATTCAATAGCAGTTATGGATAAAACAGGCAGCACCAAGCAGAATAAAATATGAAGCCATGATAATAATAATAATAATAATAATAATAATAATAATAATAATAATACTTTTATTATTTATATCCCGCCCATTTGACTGGGTTTCTCCAGACACTCTGGGCGGCTCCCAACAGAAAATTAAAAGCACAATAAAACGTCAAACATTAAAAACTTCCTTAAACAGGGCTGCCTTCAGATGTCTTCTAAAAGTCAGATATAGTGGTACCTCGGGTTAAGTACTTAATTCGTTCCAAAGGTCTGTTCTTAACCTGAAACTGCTCTTAACCTGAAGCACCACTTTAGCTAATGGGGCTTCCTGCTGCTGCTGCACCGCCAGAGCACAATTTCTGTTTTCATCCTGAAGCAAAGTTCTTAACCCGAGGTAATTTTTCTGGGTTAGCGGAGTCTGTAACCTGAAGCGTATGTAACCCGAGGTACCACTGTAGTTGTTTATTTCCTTGACATCTGACAGGAGGGTGTTCCACAGGGTGGGTGCCACCACCAAGAAGGCCCTACGCCTTGTTCCCTGTAACCTCACTTCTCACAGGGAGGGAACCACCAGAAGGCCCTCGGTGCTGGACTTCAGTGTCTGGGTTGAATGATGGGGGTGGAGACGCTCCTTCAGGCATGCATTTCATCCCTCCGCAAAGGCCTGAGGAAAGAGGTATGTCTTTGCCTGCCATAAGAATGAAAACAGGGTAGGGGCATGACACATCTTGTGGGGAGATATTGTGTGGGCCATCACAATGGAAGTCCTACCTCACCTCCCTGCACTTGCAAGCCTTGCTCAGCAAGTGTATCACCAATATGATTTCCTTTGCAGATCTTAATGTGTTCTTTCAGATGCTTAGCCTCCAAGTCTTTTAGGGCTTATAATAATAATAATAATAATAATTTATTACGGCCGTAGGCCCATACAGATAAAAACAAGACATAAATAACAGCCTGTGCACATGGGAAAAAAACAGCCGCTAAAACAATACTATAACAATAAGCTACTATAAGATGGAATGGCATACTACGCCTTAATTAGCTTGTGGTGCTCCTTGGCGACGCTTTTGGGTAAGGACAGCGACCAGGAACCTAGCCACTTTCAGGGTCGTATGGGCATCCTTATCCTGCAAGATTTGGGCAAGGTGGAATTTTGGTGGAGTACCCTCTAATTTCTGTATGATTGATCCCAACAAGTTTGCCCGTGGCACCTTAAATAAGGGGCAAGTGAACATAATGTGCTGAAGCGACTCCGGCATCTCCTTATCACATTCGCACATGGCGGAGGTTTGGCCCTTTGAGAATCTATGTCTCAGGACATTGGAGGGAAAAACATTAAACCTCGCTTTGGTGAAGGCCAGCCTATGGGCAACAGTCGAAAGGGAGGAGAGGTATGATGGAACGCAATAAGTTAAAGTGATACCAATGTTCTGGGGCGAACAAACACCTCCCCCCAGCATATAATTTTGCTGTAAATCGATGTCATCCAGTCTTTGGCGGATCAGTCTTTGAGCAGTGATTTGATCTAGTTTTAGGGAATCTAAGGGAGAGATTCCATAGCTCAGGAGTTTGGCATGAATTCTACTGGTCCAAAGGCTGGGGATTCATCTCGCCATAAGCATTGGGCAAGGTAATGGTCTGGTAATCTATGCCACAATGATAACCAATAATTGAAGACTTGCTTCCACAGGCAGGTTTCTAAGGATGCGATCCTCAATTCTAAACGCATGGCTGCGTTGCTTACGCACAGGGGAGCATTAGGAGCCGACGTAGGAATTGGTTTTGCAAAGTCTCAAGAGGGGCAAGGTCTGTCATCACGACCCAGAGCCGGGCCGCATAAGCAAGCACCGGAACCACAGTTGCCGTGAACACCAATAGGGCCGAGGAACATGCAAAGCTCCATCCGAAAAGAAAAATCGGAGGAGCGCATATGACAGAGTTTTGGCCTTATTAAGTAGGTGTTGAATATGTGCTTTCCACCCCAAATTGTATTGAAAAATAACTCCTAGGTATTGAAATTTTAGGACTTGCTCTATTTTTGCTCCACCAAGCTTCCATTCGTATAATCTCCGACTTCTGGCGAAAATCAGAATCTTAGATTTAGCATGATTGATGGTTAATTGGTTGAGTTGACAATACGTGGCAAAGATCTTCAGAGCTCTGGTTAGTCCAACACGTGTATAAGATAGAATTACCGCGTCGTCCGCATATAAAAGGAGTGGACAGCGGTAATCCGGTAATCAGATGCTTAGCCTCCAAGTCTTTTAGGGCTTTGTCACCATAACCATCATAACTTCCTGTAATGGCTCAGTTGTACCAGATGGCTTGAGTTGTACCAGACCCAGAAGACCACTGACAACCATACAACTCTTAGAATTTGTGTTATATCTGAATAAACAGGAGCACCCATTTGCACCCTGGCTATGGCATTTTGCAAAAGTTGTAACCTTCAGACAGTTCTCAAGGGCCACCCTACACATCCCACATTACAATAGCCTTATCTGCAGGTTAACAGCCTGGGAAATCTGTGTAACAGACACACAATTATATTCTCACAACTTGGCAAAGTTTCCAGTCTTTCCCTACATATCAGAAGCAGCCCTAAAATCAAGCATTGATATAAGCAAATAGCAGAAACACCAAGAAAAATAGTATTAGAAAATAGTTCAGACAGATTTTCGGAGGGAGCGATGTATCAACACCATTTAATATATCCTCTTTTTCAATCTCCAGCTCTTATTTTATGTACTTCATGACCACACTGGTATACGTAAGCTAGCAAAGCTAGCTAATACTTTTTCTTTCTCTCTGTGTGTAATAAATCAGGATAACCAAGTAAGTAAAATGTCAGTGTTTCCATTTCAGCTATTTTTGTTTCCCTTTCCTTTTTTCCCTTAAGCAGCTGGAGTGCTACATCTTTGGCCCAATGCAGATGCTTGTGTAGTGCAGGCTTTCCTGGTGATTTGATGAGTGTCTCAAGATCCAGCATACAACCTGTGGCACGTTCATCATTTAAACTCTGAATTATTTTTCAAAGCCTCTTAGCAGCAACAGCTGCTATGACAGTACAGTGTACCCAGCACACCTGACATCTACATTTGTCTATGCTTTGCTTCACCGCATGCTAACAGATTTCCCTCAAGCCTCCAACACACTGCTCTTTTTGGCCAGTGCTTGGCAGCCTCTCTGTTGCTGCTTTCATTGCTACTATTTATGGAGTTTGCTTAAATAACTTTCATAAAGGAAACTAGAAGAGACAAGTTGCTTTCCATATGGTGCTAGAAGGACCAGGGCATTTTGCTGCTTGAGTTGGAGTCCAAATGGTGCCTCTCCTCCTTCTAAGACCCAATGTCTAAAAAATCTTGCTGCTGCATGCAGACACAAATGCCTGCCTTCATCTATACTCCTGCACCAGAGCTGGTCCGGTTTCCATTGCTTCCTGTAATGGCTCAGTTGGTTAGAGCATGGTGCTGATAACACCAAGGTTGTAGGTTCGATCCCTGTATGGGACAGCTGCATATTCCTGCATTGCAGGGGGGTGGATAGATGGGTCCCTTCCAACTCTAGAATTCTATGATTTTTTAGAATCATAACATAAGCTTCAATGGTTCAGTTGTCCTCAATATCCTAGAACACTGATGGGGAACTGTGGCCCTCTAAGTGGCCTTGAGCTACAACTTCCATAATCCCTGACCCTTGACCATGATGGGGGGTGGCAAAGGGGGGGCATTATGGGAAGTGTCTCTGGGATCTGATGGATCCTAAGTCTTTCCCAGTGTCCCATCACAACCCCAAACATGCCCCAGGTGAGCGGATATTACATGAGTGACTGCTTTTGGATACAGTGGTACCTCAGGTTACAGACGCTTCAGGTTACAGACACTTCAGGTTAAAGACTCTGCTAACCCAGAAATAGTACCTCAGGTTAAGAACTTTGCGTCAGGATGAGAACAGAAATCGTGCGGCGGTGGTGGCAGGAGGCCCCATTAGCTAAAGTGGTACCTCAGATTAAGAACAGTTTCAGGTTAAGAATGGACCTCCAGAACAAATTAAGTTCTTAACTCGAGGTACCACTGTATAAGGTTTCTCTGTCAAGCATTTGCAAGTTTTGTTTGTTGAACTCAAACCATAAAGACCTGTCTCCTTATAGGGGAGAGTAGCAGATGTTACTGAGACTGCACTGATTTGATCTTTTGTGGCAGGGCAGTATTGGTGCCAAGACCCTCCCCTGTTATAAAGTTTCAACAGGCCCCTGTCCCTCTCCCCTAGTGGAGCTTCACAGTGCAGGTAATTCCAACAATGATTTTCTGTCACCATCGCACAAACAGATAGGGGTCTGTGGAATCCTTCAAATGTCCAAATCCTCATTTCTCCTAGAGAACTGGAAAGCTATGCCTGCTGCTTCCACGAAGCATTTAGCAGGACTGCTAACTTTAAAGCTGGATATTTGTAGTTTCCTTGATAGTTGTGTCAAAAGCCAGGCTGTGTGTCCTCTCCAGTTAACTGGCTTTCCAACACTGGCAGGGCACAGAGTCAAGACATCATAATAGTGGCTAAGCTAGCCACCTGCTGTGATAAGTCAGTACTGTAGGTAATGCACTCCTTGCCATGTTCCACTCGCTGTGCTCACAGAGAAAATCCTCCCCCCCCCACCTTTTACAGCAGCTTTTAAAGAACTGTATGATCAGCCTTTAAGGTCCTTTGACATAACATTAAAAGCAACAGGGAGCCACCAGAATAGCATTTCCCCGACTGAGATATTGACGTGAACCAGAAAAGTCCTGCTGAGCTAAAGGAAAGCATTTTGGGGTCTTTGAATGGCATACAACAAGGTGCATCTAAATGCTAGGGTCTCAAGTAAGCAAGCCACATGCTCTTTGGCCAGTCCTGAATTACTTTCATAGACTTCAGTGAGACTCCTTTGTGAGAATTACTCCAAAATAAATGGTTTGGGGTTGCAGCTTAATAGCCTGTTCCACAGCTCAGTTATGCTGAAGCACTTGGTTTTAGGACTTGGCCCTACTGAAGTCAGTAAGACTAAATTGGTTTTAATACAAGCATTTTACATGGCCCACATTCTCCACCAGATGAAAAAATGTGCCATTGATCCATTGTATGGCTCCATTTGTGCAATAGCCTGCTGTCCTATATCTTTAACTTTCAAGTGCGGACAGTCTTGCCAGTGCTACTAGCTTTGTCTGAAGTGGCTCTAAAAAATTAATAATTTCTCTTATACCCTGAATTAGAAACTACAGTGTCAGTATGTTTTCCTTAGGCACCTTTTGCAATCTGTCCAGATGTGCAGAAGTCCAGTTACTTGCTGAATTATGTCTAAAATTTGGGTTGCAATCATTTTGGGTTGGATTTTCAGTCTTGTGTTGCTATCATTCAAAAAGCTAGCCAGTGTGGTTGAAGACTCCTAAAACAGCTGTGAATTCTTTTTTGTAGTTGGACCTAACCACCTAGTAGGGAGCTTAATAGATTAGCTTATTCCATTTCCCCCATTTATTTATTTGGATTTTGATTCCTTTGGGAATGTAAATTCGTCTCCCCTTACAACAAGAGATACTAAGAGAGAGAGAAACTGAGATTGGCTGGCCCAAAGTCAATGAAGTTCATGGCTGAGTAGGGATTTGAACCAGGGTGTGTTCAGCACACCAATCCTAGTTCTGATTTACAATTTTCTAATTTGCAGGGCCAAAGCTCGGTAGTAGAGCACATGCTTTGCAAACAAAGGGTTCAGTCCCCAGCATCTCCAGGCAAACGTAGGAGACAATCTTGCCCAACTCTGGGAAGTTGCTGCCAAACAGTATAGACCTGTTTTCTCCAATCTGTTGTCCTCCATAGCTAGATGGACTAATGATTTTTTTTTTTTTTTTAAATATTTTATTAAGGATTTTCTTGTTTTACAGAAGTGTAGTGCCTCGTATTTTTTTTTCCCATGTAACATTTTTACAAATCCGTTTCATTTGTTGAGGCATTAGGGGAGAAGAAAAAAAGAAAAAGAAAAAGGGGGTGGAGAGAGGGAAGATGGATGGGGGTGGGGTCGGGTGGCGGTGTTTCTATTATGTTTAATGTATGTAGAGTTTGGTGTCAGCGTTGCTTGTGTTGTTCACTTGTGTTCCTTTGGTGGTGAGAGAGGTTGGGGTTGGCCTAGGGTGTGATTGTTTGCTTGTGATTGGCTGTGGTGATCTTTGTTTTCGTGTGTGAGTGAGGTGGGTGGGTGTTTTGGATCAGGTTAGCCATGATTTGACTCGGAATAAGTCAGCTTCCTATACTACCCACAGACTCTCCCTAGAGCAGCACCAAAGGGAAGAGGCCTCTATGTTAATGAGTTGGGGTAGCCATTGTGATGCCTTCCATATGTTTTGGATGACAACCCTCATCATTTCAGATCCTTGTATTATTTGCAGCTATTGAGAATTGTAGTCCACAGCATATGGAGGGTACTGTATCGGCTACCCTTGCTGATGGGCAGGTTTAAGTGAAGGCAGGATACATGCTCTTACTTTTCAACTTTTGTCTAACTTTGGATAAGGCAGGGGGGTTGAAAGTAGTCCAGAGCCTTAATTCTGTTCTTGGGTGTACTTGCAGTACGAGTACAGAGAACAGCAGGAAGCATGCAAAATCTTCTCTCGAAAGCTATTGGTATTTGGGTACACATTTTATGTCTCCTCTTTTTCTTATCTTGGCCAAACATTTCTACTGTCCATGAAATAGCAAGTGCATTGATTTAAATTTAAAATAACAAAGCACAAGATATCAGCCAATCTTGTTCAAAGTGTTTTAGTCTAAGTTTTAAAACATTTCTGGCTGGTACCTCTTTTTCTAGAAAAATAGCACTGTTAATATTTAAATACAGGTCAAGATTTTATACATATATATGTATAAAATCTTGAGCTATATACATACATCACCTAAACATCACCTAAAATAGAAGCCCTTTTCAGAGTACATTTGTGGAGATTATGAACAGCAGGTGGAGAAGAGAGCATTGTAGTGGCAAGCTGTGCCTTCAGCCTATACATGTTCATTTGATGATACAGCTAGGTCAAAGGTGCACACATCTGTTCAAACACTGGGACATCTTTACTTGAATGGGATCCTGGGTCCATCTCCTATGCATGTTCATTCTTCTGCCCTCCATGTTGTACGAAAAGGACTTTGGTCATTAGGCAGAAAGCACGTCTTATGGAAAATTCTATGAAGGAAGGAGTGGGGGAAAGCCCAACTAGGTAGAAAGGCCATAAGCAGTTGATACTTACCACCGGCAAACCACAAACCAGCTTGATACTGCCAAACAACTGAACACAATCACACCTAAAATGATGGAGACTAGAGAACCCTTGGAAAGCCTTCCAGAATCTGAAACAATGAAATGTTAAATTATACTTCTTAACTAGGCGGGTAGGTAGTTTTATGCTTCCAATGAGACTTCAGAGGTCTGCTGTCATCACACAACTCATCTTATCATTCTCCTCTGCCACTGTTACCAATGGAAATACTATTTTGGATTTAGGTAGCAATGGCTGGTGGCAAGCTACAGAACTGTCCTATCTGCAGTGTATATGATCTCCAACTTATGCAGGCTGAGGGTCTCGCCTTCCTTCAATCTGCACCATGTAACAATGCTAGTCTTTCTTTCTTTCTTTCTTTCTTTCTTTCTTTCTTTCTTTCTTTCTTTCTTTCTTTCTTTCTTTCTTTCTTCCTTCCTTCCTTCCTTCCTTCCTTCCTTCCTTCCTTCCTTCCTTCCTTTCTAATGTATATAATATTTTCAAAGGCTATCTATATTTGACACCAGAATATTTTATGCCTTGAAAATTGAAAGACAACCCCCCACAAGCAATGGAATTCACTTGCAGAGTGTATCACTCCTCCTGCAAATGAGATTTTCTTTTCATATTTCATTAAATAATATAAAGATCAAATACAGAGTTATATGGCTGAGACTGAGAGTGTTTGTTGCAGCTATTGTCTGTAAAAAATGTTCTATCGCTCCTCTCTCTATCCAGGGTCTCAGCCCAAGCTATTGGTCTGCCTTGCTAGGGTGTGGGAGGAGAGGAGGAGAGTAGTGAATGGGTGAAAATACTTATTTTATTACATTTATATTTTGCCTTTCCTCCCAAAGAAGCCCAATATGTGGATTCAATTTGCAGGTCAAACCACAGGACAATAACAGCAGATCAATCTCAAGTCTTGCTTGCTAACTTTTTGACAACTAAAGACCAGTTGATGTTGTCAATTTGACAATGATGTGGAAGCAACTTCCATCATAATCCAACATTTCACAGAAACAGACATTGGCTTGTACTTGTAACACTCCTGTTCACATGGCAAGGATCATTGCCTGAGGAGGACTACACACACACACACACACACACACACACACACACACACTTAATTGTAGGCTTCACCTCTGCCATGTCCATTAAATTGAGCACTTCAGCTCCTTTTCTGCATAGACAGAAAGAGTGTCTGAAACCAGAATAATTACACTGCTTGTCTTCCCAAAGTTTCTACAAAAGATAAAAAGGAGACTGTGACATACCAGGGACAGGTACTAGAAACCAAGGACTCTTGGAGCACATGTTTCCAGGTATCAGATCTTCTGCTACACCAGTATGGGGACCAGCCCTACCATTAGGCAAAGTGACAGGTGGGGAAGCTGGGCAGTGAAATGTTGGGAGCACACAGTTACACGTGGTCTGCCCTGCACCTCCAAAGTTAAACTGTTCTTTCAGGTGCGATGGATTGTGCTGTCCCATTGCCAATGTTGAAGTATAATCTAATTGCCAATCCAGTTGGCTTCTGTGCACGGAATGGGAAAGGGCACCATCCCTAGCCTTCATCTCATGTAGCAAAATATATTGGGCTGGCTCTGACCAGTCCATAGGAGCCACAGGAGGTGGGCAGGTCACATGGTCCAATAATGGTACTGCATATTATGGGTACAGAGTGGGACCAAACATCACAGAAGCAGGGTGTTTTTTTATGTTGGTGCACCTTGAGGAAATCATTCCTTCTAATACTGATCCAAGTCTGCCCATCCATGTGCTTATGTAGCCAGAACAGCAAAGGAATCAGCATACTTAGGGTGACCCAGAGATATATGCATGTGTGCAGAAAAATTGCAATGAAAAGAACTAAGGGTGGAGGGGAAACTCTAAAACATAAGAACTCATTGACAATGAATGTTGAAAGATTGCAGCTCCCTTCATAGGAACTTAAGATCAGCCTCCTGAATCAGGTCAACGGCCCATCTAGTCCAACATCCTGTTTTCACAGTGGCTAACCAGATGCCTGCAAGCAGGACATGAGAAGAAGAAGAGGAGTTTGGATTTGATATCCCGCTTTATCACTACCCGAAGGAGTCTCAAAGCGGCTAACATTCTCCTTTCCTTTCCTACCCCACAGCAAACACTCTGTGAGGTGAGTGGGGCTGAGAGACTTCAGAGAAGTGTGACTGGCCCAAGGTCACCCAGCAGCTGCATGTGGAGGAGCGGAGACGTGAACCCGGTTCACCAGATTACAAGACTACCACTCTTAACCACTACACCATGCTGGCAACAGCACCCTGCCCACTTGTGATCACAGCAACTGGTATTAAAAGGCAAGATGTCGTTGATAGCCTTGTCATCCATGAATGTGTCCAATCCTCTTTTAAAGCCATCCAAGCTGATGGTCATACATTATTCCCATGTACAGGGCAAGTGTGGGCCGCCCTCAAAGTCGCACTTCTGTTCCTGTCCCCACCATTGCCAAAGTTGAGAATAATTTCTGCCTTGTTTAGCTGTGGAGATCCTTGGATAAACAACCCCTCAGCCTTAGGCTTGCCAGGAATACACTGCAACATTTTGATGCAGGGCCCTGCTTGTTGGCCTATCAAGATTCTTTCAAAGATCAGTGAAATGAACAGTCTATATTGTAAATGAAAATACCCATGCAAAAGTGCTGGTATTATGTAAGCATATAACAATAATTAAAAGCAAAGCAAAATTCAATCAAGAGGTTTTTCCCTCCCTAGAAGAAGACGATTAAGGAGATTAATCCCCAAACAAGTGTTAGGAACAGAGTCATCTGAGGAACAGAACTTCAAGCTATCTGTTACAGGTTGAATGGTTATTAGGCACATTAGACAAATGAAGTAAGGAATAATTAAAACAGTGCCATCAAAAGGTTTTTAACAACTTAATGGAAAAAGCAACTATCATGCTTCAAACCAAGGACAAAAGAAACAAGACACCAAAAAGACCCAAGGATTTCTACTTCACATTTTATGTACAGCAATAGGCTTATTTTTGACAGATGAGCAGTGTTGTTGCCTTCAGACAACAAACCTCACAGGTTTGCAGTAGTCTCCCTTCTACTCCATCTTCCACACTTTCCATTTAATTTGGAACAGGACTCCAGGAAGAGGTCTGTGAGGTAAAGCATTCCTCCTAGGGCAAACTGGGTTGCAACAAAACTAAGATACAGTATGCCTTAGTCAGAACTGTCAGTTTCAGAATGATTAACAAAAAATCCTGGCATGAGGGACAGTCTGCAGTAGTGGTCTTAATGTTAGATGTGGACCAAATCGTACTGGCTTCTAAACTCATTTGGACATAAAGCTTTGTTAGATAGCTTTGGACAATCTCAGACCTACTTCACAAGGGTAGTTGTGATGGGAAGATACCAACGTCAGCTGCCCTGAGTTGGAGAAAGCAGCATTCAAGTGTAATAAATAAGAATAATTTAAGACATCCTGGCATGTTCCAAGTATGAATGGAGGTTGAATGAGTGTGCAGCATAAAATATTATTAGACCTCTTACAGATGTTAAGAGCACTTTAGTTAGAAGTCTGAAGTTGCTGGAATAATGTAATTCACACTAATCATTTTTCAATTGCTCTACAACACTACCGTACCAATCATTTGCAACTTGGGATGCTCTTCTGGGCTAACAAGCAAATCACAGGCAGCTCAAGGTTTGCTTTAGTTATCTCATCCAGACTGCCTTCACAGTTCTGTATTTTTATTATGGCAACTGCCAACGAATCCCCAAGCTTACTTGGAGAGAAAGGCTGGTGAACTTGACTTATCTGCTTATGATGCAGACCTGCATAGCTTGTGGCCCACCAGGATGAATGCAGCTCAGACAGACATGTTGAATACAGCTTGATCCCTGTGACCTTTCTTATAAATGCCTGCTTAGAATTCAAACCTAAGGCCTGCCATAACCCTGGAGCCAGAGTCCTTCACTTCAAGAAATGAGAATAAGGACTGTGAAAGAGGGAGAGCATGTAGGGTCAGCCCCCGAAGCACTTCCAGCAGACATGCCTGGGGTGTGGTGTCAGTCCTCCTCTGGCCTGAGGATTCTGAGGATTGCCACCCTAAGTCTCCCTCCCTGACAATTATGTTTATTGATTTTCCAAATTATTACAAATCCTTCTCTCAAGGAAATAACTTTTGACACTCTTCCTTTGAAGAGAACCTCAGGAGTGCTGCTCCACACACCAGCTCTCTGTGGGCCAGATTGCAGTCATCTTGTAGGCAGACAGTTCTTTTCAGAGACCTCTAATGGGCATGGCAGTGATGTTTATCAGACACCCAAACTTCTTTAACTTCAGTTTAGAACCATAATAACTGCCTGGGCCTAAACCCTTTCCCTTTCAGTGTAAAAATAAATAAATAACTAGCTGTTTACTGATTGGAAAAGCTAAGACTGAGGCATTTAATCAAGCACAAAAGGATTTATGGCATGTAAAGGAACATAAATGCAGCCTGGCTGTGCGGGCCACCCGCTGGTTCAAAAATTGTTATTAACTATCCAAGGATTATACTGAATTTCATATGGTAGCACAAGTCCTGGAATTACCATACGTACATGACATAAAAGGGAATGAGGAAGTTTCTCTAATCCCACCAGTGAGAGTTATTGCTGCTGCTGCTGTTGTTCAGAAGAAGAAAACGTCAGACATGTTTTCCCACACCTTTGTTCATAGGAGCCAACTCCTAGTGGCCGAGGTCCCTTCACCCCTCACAAAAAATATTTGAGGGCCCCCCAAGTTAATGGACATGGGTGTGGTGCCGTGTCATGTAATCAATTATGTGGGGTAGGGCTCACTTGGGCCCCTCCAATATTTTATTGGCACCCCTGCCTTTGTTACACTATCCAAAACTTCAAAGACTGCCTCCTTGGACTCTCAACACCTGAGTTCTTACTTCTACTTAGCCAGGAAGCAGACTTAAGCCAGCCTCTCTCTCTCTCTAACCTACCACAGTGGTTGGTTTGTGTTCTTTACAGTGACCCTTACATTTAGAAGTCTGCTGTGATCATTCAGTGTTGATAAGTATGAAACAGCGGAAGATAATTAGAATGGTTCTCACATAAATGACTACAGCATGTGTGAATGACAGAGAATGACTTTGAGATTGCTTCATTGTTTTATGTTGCTAAGTTTTAACCAGCAAAGCAGTGCAGTCACCTCACCTTTGCATATTTTCCCATCTTCTGCCAGTTCATAGGGATCTGTGCAAAGACACTGGAATGAGCCTTGGGTATTGACACATTGAGCAGAGGAGTGGCATGGGGGATTGGTTTTATTTTCACATTCGTTGATGTCTAAAGAGAAACACAAAAGTTAAAACAAAGTTATAAACTCAAAGTGTATTTCTAGAAGGCGGATCCTAAAATATGCTGCATTTGCACAAAAAGATAAGCTATTAATTCTGGCTTAATAAACCCAGATATGCATGGGCAGTCTGCACTAGCACCAAGAGAGTTCTGATGGAAATAGAAACAGTATTAGAAACTGCTGTTTGCTTATTTTTCCAGAACAGAAATCAAACCTCCTTTTTTGGGTGTTTTGCCTCTTTCTTAGGTAGGGGAAACTGAGTTCTTGAGTTTCTTACATCTCAAAGGGGCCCTCAAGCCTAAAAGGGTTTGGGAGCTGCTGTTGTAAAGCATTTGAAAAAAAAACCAAGATTTGTTCAACCAGATACTTTTTTATTAATTTATTCATAATTTGCTTCACTGTGGCTGGATCTAGACACATGAAAGAAGTGTTTCAGTTTAAAGTGTTGTAAACTTAAACAGGGAAAACAGGTAGAGAAAAACGGGGCTCCATGTCACCACCTGATGGCACAATGTTATATTGCACATAGAACGCATATAAATCACATTTTCTTCACCATTCTGGCTGAGTCCTAGCTGAGCCCTGTGTGTGCAATACATTGTATAAACACACATGGAGCAAAGGAAGAGCTAACTGAACTAACAGCCATGCAAGCAGCCTAGGATTGTGTTTTTCTTTTGACTTAGTGACTTCCCATTCTACTGCTTGTTTCCATAGCCTGCCGTACATAGTTTAACATATTAACCACCTATTGGAGAATAAACGACTGGTTCACGCAAGTTTTTCCATTCAGCTTGTTGCCAGAATATTAATCTGCTAGGGGGCAAAATATTATTATAATTCATCTCTTTCTTTGCTTCGCAACTAGGTGGAAAAAATTCAGGGGACTCACAGGATGTGACTAAAAGAGAGAGTTACAATTCCCTATCCCTATTTCATTTCAAGTGTGCCATTATCTGAATCACTGTCTCTTCCAAGCAATGTTGATAAGCAGGCCTATACCAACTGTAGCTCCTGCATGCAAATGAATTCACCTGTTGTAATGTCTTCCTCAGTAGGAGCTTGTTAAATTTCTCTCTCTCTCCTGATGCTTTCCTCCCCCTTAATGAAGGTTGAATATGCATGTGCACAGACATGCTGGGAAATGCTACGTACGGTGACTTGTAGAAATGTAATGTAAGTGAGAGTAAAGTCCTAAATTGATGCAATGCATTGAAATGAACTCATGCAGTTCTTCACTTTCAAGGCATTGGAAGGGGGATTGAGTGCCTGTGGTGCTTGATTTACTGGATTCAGTAGGAAACCATCTGTACTAATAGTTTTTATAATGCGAAGGAGGGGATCATGATAGTAACTCAAAGAAGAAGGCAATCTTTCTTTCTGGGCCTTCCTAGTGTTAAAGGCGGGGGACAATTTGTCCAGCTCACATTTTAAGGCATTCTATCTCCTTCACAGTTCCCAAACCAGACTTGATCATGTCCTTTACTTGTCCATGTACAGAAGTCAATTGGATTGGCCCTTGGATTGCACTGGCAATAGGAAATAATTTCCTACCACATCTGAAAGAGCAGGTGTGGTGCAAGCCACAGGGCACAGGCAACGGTTGTTAGTATTTATATTGTATTTGCGTTATAAATGTATTTCACAAAGAATAAATGGTACTGGGGAAAGTTGGGAGCTGACAGTTGGTTGGTTATTTTCTTGGTTGATTCTTTGATTAGAGTGGTGACTTCAATCAGATGCTGTCTGGAGGAGTTTGTGAGAACAGGCAAGCTATGGATTAATAACTTATGCGCTGCTATGAAGAAGTTTTGAAAACAAAAGGGACTAAACCCTCTCTTGGGCTCAAGGGAGAGAAATGAATTTCAAGTCTTGCGTAAGGCTTCTTTTAAAAAAAATCACAAATAGCTAACAGCCGTGTCCTCCAACATTTCACTGCAACAGCTTCCCCACCCAAGGATCAGTCACCTGGGATGGCCTCCTCACTCTGCCTAATTGTGGGACTAGTGTCCCTGACCCCAAAATACTGGTGTAGTAAAATATCTGACCACCTGGAAGCATATACTCTTCAATTTGAGCACTACTTTTTTTTTTTTGTTTCCCCAACTGTGGCAATGAAGAGACAAATAATAGTATAGTTGGCGGGGGGGGTGAGTTTCTTTGCGGAAAGAACCCCCACATCCCTGGGCATGCCTCAATGCATTTTGTTCTATATTTCTGGTGCAACCAAATAAAAGTGCAGCAATATATGTTTGAAAAAGGTGCTAGCAGCAGAAAGCTTTTTCTTCCCGTAGGAGAGAACGAGCTGATCAGATGCAGTCTTATTTTATTTCTCAGGCAAAAAACTTGGATATGGATATGGATATCCTGGCTAAACCCTGTTAATGCCTGCTGCTAATTAAATCCTACAAGCTTTTTAGTTTTTCAAAACGCACACAGGCCCTCCATGGGCATTAAAGCATCCTATGATTCTGTGAATCCTATTGCTTCCTTTTGATCTGTATTCCTTTACACTGAGAGCAAGAAGGAGCGTGGTCAGGCAAGCTGCCCAGTTTGGGTTATGTTTTAGTTGCATTCTGGGAGACTTGGCTCAGTCAGTTGCTTAACTCACAAATATATGGAGCAGAGTAATAGTTTGTGGGGACGATCACGTCTTCTTAAAATAAGAGACCAAGGATGATTTGTGAGATCAGAGTAAAGCGAAGAAAGGAAGAGTACGCTTATATCTTTTCAAATCTCTTTGCAATTTGTTTCACGTTTTTGTCTCAGTAAGCCCTGGAACGTGTGAATTCTCAGGCTCTACAGCTAGAAACTGTAAGTAAGCTGAAAAAGAAATTTATTGATGGCAGCATCAAGAGTGACCTCAGAAGATAAATGAATTTTCACAATAGACTACAGGATCCAAGTTTATTCAGCCCTCTAAGATTATTCATGTTTAAACATTCCAATGTGGCAATGCCATTCTTGCTAGGAGATAGCAGACAAAACTTAAAAACCATAGGCACCTTGGCAGACCGGTGCTTTCAAATTCCATTTCCCCTGTATACAGGACAATTGTTCTTCTCCTAATAGCTCATATCCTTGGTGGCATGAGTAGGTAACAGTGAGTTTCCCTGCCTCTGAACAATGGACAAAGTCACCATGTTCCACTCTTGTTGGGAAACCACAATTCAACTCTAGAAGCAAAAACACAACATTTTTTTAAAAATATACATAACACATTAGTGTACATCAGTCAAAACTGCATATACTGTTTTTGTTAAGATAAATTTGTACTAAAATGCTGATAAATTTTCATGTGAATCAAAACACAAATTGCTGCAAAATGTAGAGTTCTAAATTTAAGTGTGGAAAAATGAGCGACCCAGAGAACTGAAATTCCTAATCTTGAGTGAAGATATTCTATGACCACTCTTGGTCAGCAATTATGGGAGCTGGACCCTGCTGTAGGACGGGGTAGAAATAAAAAGATTACTATCATTATAAGTCCAGCCACATTTGGAGAGCGGCAGCTTTTCTATCCCTGTTCAAAGGCCTCAGATGATGAATGCAGAGACTGGGCTACTGTACCCTCTCATACCCTTTCATTCCTTTTGCCAAATGCAAAGGAATGAAACACAGCTTTGCCTGGTAGCAAGAAGATACTCAGACCATTTCATCCCAGCTGTCAAAACCTCCAGCATTCTCCTCATTTCTAAACATTCCAAATATTTGACAAAAAAGAGGATATTAATTTTTAGAATTACCTGGGTGAAACGTTTCCTGCCAAGCTCCTAAATGAATACTGGGTATATTTTCACAAGACTCAAAATCTTTAGGAAATTTCCCAAGTATGAAGGCATCAAGGGGCACTTCAGTGAGACCAGTGTTATCACAGATTAATCTGGATAAGGAATATTTTCTGAGTTCTTGCCTTTGATCTTCAGTGAAAACATTGTCGTTTTCCCACCAAAATCTATGTAGAAACAAGACCAAAAAATATTGCAGGACAGGAGTGTAGGCCACAGTGTATTATGTTCTACCACTTGGCCCCACCTAGATATCAAACTTCTGAAACAATTGGCAATCCTGTTTCAAAGTTTGTTTTTTACCAAATCCAGTTTAATAAATATCCTTTTCAGGTATTCTAATCCCCTGTGTGGTTAGAATTGCATGAGGGACAGCAAAGACAAGCGTGTTAGCTGCCATCCTCAAATTTGCTCATCAAATTTACAGATGACACTGAACTGGGAGAGGCAGATAATGCTACAGAAGAACAGAAGAAAGAATCAGTATTCAAGATGACCTTAACAGATTGGAGAACTGGGCCAAAGGAATTTCAATACAGACAAATGTAAGGTTCTACACTTAGGCAGAAAAAAACAGCGGCATAAATATAAGATGGGGGACACCTGGCTTTCTAGTAGTACACGTGACAAGGATCTAGGGGTCTTAGTAGACCACAAGCTTATCATGAGTCAGCAGTGTGATGCAGCAGCATAAAAAGCTAATGCTATTCTAGGATGCATCAACAGAAATATAGTGTCCCAATCAAGGAAAGTAATAGTCCCGTTCTATTCTGCCTTGGTCAGACCACACCTGGAGTACTGTGTCCAGTTCTGGGCACTACAATTTAAGGAGGATATTGACAAGCTGGAATGTGTGCAGAAGAGGGAGACCAAAATGATAAAGGGTCTGGAAACCAAGCCTTGTGAGGAACAGTTGAGGGAATTGGGTATGTTTGGCCTGGAAAAGCAGAGACAGAGAACAGCTAATAATGCCTAAGCAGGGCTAATGGAAGGAACAATACAAGTAAACTTACCGATCACCATCTCTCAATGCTTTCATTTGTTTTCCAATTATGCATGCAAACAGTGGACCTGTTCTGGCATCTGGAAGCATGCTTTCTACTATGCCTGCTAGCCACAAATCCATGTTGTCAGGGTTTTTGTACAGTCCCATGATTTTTTGCACCGTCTTCCTGTTCTGTATCGCTTTTGTCAGGTCGCTTTCCGTCCTTAGCCTCGGCAGGTCACAGAATTCTCGCCAGTCATTGTAGCCTACAAATATGGCATTCGTAGAACGAATCAAACAAGATTTCCTAACGGGAGCCCTGACAGCTTCCTGTGAGAGCTCTGCCCAGTTCCTAAAGTGCTTGATGCAAGCCTACCTGCAGTGATACCCTTGGACCTGGAATCCCTTCACTCTGATCTGAAATATGCGAGGCATGATCCTCAGAGGTGAATGGGGACAGTGTGGAGGAATGGTTAGAGTTCATACCTGGGAAGGTGTACCTGGGAACCATGAACCCTGTGGGGTGACTTTGGGCCATAGACATTGCCTCTCAGCCTGACCTACCTGAAAGGGTTGTTGTGAAGATAGAGTGAGAAGTGTTTATGACACCTTGAGCTCTTTGGGGGAAACATGAAATGTAATAGCAAATAATAAAATAAATTATTACTAGTGGTCTGCTGGCCTCCTGAAAAATGTATTTGTCAAATTAATATCCCACCCATCTTTTCAGGGTGCTTATCAAATGCAATCTTCATAACAACTTTGTAAGTAGACCAGGTTGAGAGACAATGATTTGTTGCAGGCGGGGGTGAGGGAAATAATGAAATGTGCTTATTATTTATTATTATTAATACCCCACCCATCTGACTGGGTTTCTGCACTCTGGACAGCTTGCAGCACATATTAAAAATTGTAAAACATCAGACATTTAAAATTTCCCATTACAGGGGCTGCCTTCAGATGTATTCTAAAAGTCAGATAGTTGTTTATTTCCTTGACATCTGATGGGAGAGCATTCTGCTACCGAGATGGCCATTAATGGTTGAGTGGGGATTTGAGACAGGTCTCCCAAATCCAAGTCCAGTGCCCTATCCACACAGCCACACCAGACTGGTGTCTTGCTTCAAATTAAGCTCTGTGAGGCAGTAAGTGGATGCTTTATATAGGGTGTATTTTATGCCTGAACCAGTACAGCATTCTGATATACCAGCATTGCGTACAAGTGATTCTGGTACCATAGGAAAATATAATAAGACAAATGTAGATACAGGTTGTAATTCTTGAGTACTGGGATTTGTACTAAATCTGCTTTGGTGTTATTCAATCCAATGCACAAACTAGTCAATAGATCTGTTCTAGCTCTTTTCTGGAATGGGTGGCTGATGATGAGAAGCTCTCTGTGGACCATTTGTGCCTGTTTTAAGGACTAAATGTAGCCTGGCTTGAAGTGGGAGAACAGGCTGTGTTCTCCTAATTAAGATAACAATGTATACCATGTTAATAACATAACATACATAATTTGTAAGGAGGTGTGGAAACTGCTGATAAAGACAAACTGAAGTTGTAGATCAAAATGTTCTTAAAGGCTTTAACTAAGCAGGAAAGAGTGTGCGAAAGTAAAACTATTCTCAGCTGCTATTAAAATGAAATAAACAACCACAGTGCACTGATTGCTAATACAATAATATTACATTCCAGTAAATTCATTGGGTTGTACCCAATGGTGCCTTAGAGGACAGCACTTCCATTTCTAGAAGTCAGGCCACCTAATTTTGGCTGACAACCCCAACCATTTACTGTAGCCCTCTGCACCACATCCCATTCTGTTCCAGAGGGTCCCAGACCCCTCAAGAACAGCTGGTGGGGTGGTTAAGAAGGTAAGGTAAAGGTACCCCTGCCCGTACAGGCCAGTCTTGCCAGACTCTAGGGTTGTGCGCTCATCTCACTCTATAGGCCGGGAGCCAGCGCTGTCTGCAGACACTTCCGGGTCACGTGGCCAGCGTGACAAGCTGCATCTAGCGAGCCAGCGCAGCACACGGAACGCCGTTTACCTTCCCGCCAGTAAGCAGTCCCTATTTATCTACTTGCACCCGGGGGTGCTTTCGAACTGCTAGGTTGGCAGGCGCTGGGACTGAGCGACGGGAGCGCACCCCGCCGCGGGGATTCGAACCGCCGACCTTTCGATCAGCAAGTCCTAGGCGCTGAGGCTTTTACCCACAGCGCCACCCGCGTCCCTAAGAAGGTAAGAGGGATCAACAAAATCGGGGCTTTGCTTTGCACAGACAGAAGTCTCTTCTGTTAATCTGGCTAGGCCTCCCACTTTGGCTAGTGAGGCTGTTTCGAACAATCTACACTCAGCTGCTCTACACCTGATATCATATATGATGGGTGGGGCTTGGCCAAAAGGGACTTTGCAGGGACTTCAAATCAGCACTGCCTGCAAAGCCCTATTGCCCAGTGCTATAATATAAGTCGCCTAGAGGCTTTGGCATAGGCAACACACAAATCCTGCTGCTACTATTACCACAAGATGTATTGTTAAATAACGCAGTATACCTGGGAGTCCATGATCACGTCCCCGCTGTAAATCTAATGATGCTAAATCCAAAGAGCCATTATGAGACAACACCAATAGCTTCTTGGTTAGCTCCTCATTCAGCAGCTGATCCTGTACCTGTAGTTTTGCAGCAGTTGCCAAAGTTCCTCTTAGCAGGGGATCCAAGCCACCTAAGAGTACAAAGAGAAGGTTACAGAGGGGAAGAGGCGGGCCTCTCCATCATCTCTGCTGAAAGACCAACAGCTTTTGGGCTCCTGCTGCCCTTGAAATATTTCCACCCCAGCTGGTTGTTACAAAACCTCTGTCAAAAATCTACCTCCCTCCCAGTCCATTTCTGTGTGTGTCACGTATTTTAGATTGCGGGCCTCAGAGCAAGGGCTGTCTTATCACTGACATTTGAAAGCGTCTGTCTTATCATGGGCATTTTGGAGTGAGAAACAGGATAAAAATGCTTTAAATAAATGTATGCAGCCGCAAATCCAGCACTGTCTTAAGATAAGTGCAAAAGTCCTTGATTTTCATCCAGCCGGCTAAGGACCCTTCACTAACTATGAATTGTCCTTTAACGGCTTTACATGCATTTTTCTTCTAGTTTTCAAAAAAACAACCAAGTAACAAAGATGTAAAGATATTAACATCTTCCACTGAGTAGTGTTAGGCAAATAATAACAATATTATTTTCATTATTTTTCTTTATCAAATGTATAAATAAGCTAACTATAATTCTCTAGAAAAAGACAAGTACTATTTATAACATGTTTTTTAAACTTGAATTTTTTAAAAATATTTTTTATTAAAGTTTTCAGGTTTTCATTTCCACATTAACATCTTTTATTATACCCATACATTCAATGACTTCCCTCCTTCCCCTTCCAAGGTTCTTTTAATTTACCCATAATTCCTGCATATTCTTGTATATCCATCTAAATCAGTTTTCTCCATCCTCATTTTACACCCTTTTAGATATGTAATACCGCTGAAGTTACCTTAATACTGCCAGCGTTTTCAACTGTGTACAATTTTTAATGGGTTGCAGCCAATTAAGCCCTTCTCAGATTAGACGCTCTGGACTGAATGGACAAGTTAGATGTGATTAATTTAAGTCCAGCAGCAGGTTTACTTTGATCTTGGTTTGATTGGATGCAATCATATGGAAACTCTTTATTAAGATAAGGCTGCAACCTTATCATATTTATCTGGGAGTAAGACTCATTTAATAGGGCTTATTTCTGACCAGAAATACATAGTATTGTGCTGTAAAGCTAACAACAACAACAACAACAACAACAACAGGGCTTTGAGGGGCCTTCTGGCGGTTCCCTCATTGCAAGAAGTGAAGTTACAGGGAACCAGGCAGAGGGCCTTCTTGGTAGTTGTGCCCGCCCTGTGGAACACCCTCCCATCAGATGTCAGAGTCAAACAATTTTATGACCTTTTGTAGACATCTGAAGGCAACCCTGTTTTGAGAAGCTTTTAATGTTTGATGTTTTGCTCCTTTATATTTTGTTGGAAGCTGCCCAAAGAGGCTGGGGAAACCGAGTCAGATGTGTGGGGTACAATAATTATAATTATTAAAACAGTAAGGCTACACAAACCTTTCACTCTTCTCCCTTGTCCCTCCAAGCTGTACCGTATTTTTCGCCCTATAGGACGCAATTTTTCCCCTCCAAAAATGAAGGGGAAATCTGTGTGCGTCCTATGGGGCGAATACAGGCTTTCGCTGAAGCTTGGAGAGCGAGAGGGGTCGGTGCGCACCGACCCCTCTCGCTCACCAGGCTTCAGGAAGCTATCAGCAAGCCTGGGGAGCCTGCGGGAGTTCCCGCAGAGCTCCCTAGGCTGCGAATAGCAGCTTGCCGCCCGGCACGCGGGACGCCCTGAAGCAGAGCACCCCGTGCGTCGGGCAGACATCGGCCAGCCCCACAAGCTCGGGGGACAGTGGGGAGGCGCAGCGCCGCCATCCCGCTGTTCCTCGACCTGGTTTGGAGGCTGGCGCTGGGGAGAAGCGCGCTTCTCCCCAGTGCCAGCCCCACAAGCTCGGGGGACAGCGGGGAGGCGGAGCGCCGCCATACCGCTGTTCCCCAACCTGGTTTTTTTTTGGGGGGGGGGAATAAAGGAAAAAAAAATTTCCTTTATTTCCCCCCCAAAAAACTAGGTGCGTCCTATGGGACGGAGCGTCCTATGGGACGAAAAATACGGTAATTCATTCCACACAGATAAAATAACTGAATATTTCAATTTATTTTGGTTTTTTTATATGACTTTGGAAATGCTAGTCAAGAAGAGAAAAACACCTCAGCACTTGCTCTTCATGGTCTGTTTAACAGTCTGAACAATGATGAAATCAAGACAAAATCTCCCTGTTTTACAAGTTGCTAATAACTTTGCAGTAATGAAAGAAGATGTGATAGTATTAAACAAAGTACCTTCTTTAATAAGTCTCCACGGGGTAAAAAAAGCTTCGTGCAATTGAAGATTAGGAAGATTTGGATCATTCTGATACTGTACGTCGAGTCTCTTTATGACTGGATGAATTGCAGCATGGCCAAAGCGAAAAGCTGCCGTAGTAAATACATTGGATACTGAAGGATTAATTGTGGGAACATAGCCTTTGTAAGCACCAATGTATTGGTTAAAAGCATCTGGTCCAATGATTTTTGGTATGTAGTCTCTTAGGGTAATAATCTGGGGTGGAAATAAGGGAAACCAGAATATTTCAGTTAATAACAATGTCGTAGGAAGCCTATCGTGTGTTTGAAAAGACAAAGCCTTGCCAGATGTTGGTCTGGTCTCCTTAGATATAGGGACATTCACTAGCAACAAGAGCCAAAGTCATATTTATATAAGCTAGATGCCAAATGGCTCCTTAAACCAGGGTTATAATCGCCAAAATGGAATGCCTAGATGCCATTTTGGGGCCAGACAGCTCAAAAGTTGTATTTTTCAATACGACTTTTTGGTTCCTGAAATTCATTTTGATTGTGCAGATAAAACATAACGGATAGAATTCTACAGGATGTGTGGCTGGAGTGTGAAAACAGTCAAGATCTAAGGATTCCCAGGCATGCACCTCCAGATGGCGGAGACATCAGACGTCATCCTGGCACCTGGGCATCTTCACTTGGTCACAAGTGGCCGATAGCCAGGTGCAAAAGCTGCCTGGGGACTGAGGGGGGGCATTAATATCAGTGCCCCTTCCCTACCATGGAGAATTGTGGGAGTGGTTTCCCCAGATCAAGATTAGTTCAGCTGGAACTTTTCTAATAGAACGGGGAAATTAAGCCACAGCCAATCTGGACCGGAGGTGTTCAGTAGTCTCAAAATGTTAAGGGTGTTTCACAGCATTCTTTACTGGCAATGAAATAATATTGTCTCCATGCTGATGGATCATCCAACAAAGATATAACTGTCTTTCTATTTTGTTATAGCCTGCTAGCTGACATTAAACAGAAAGTGTTCTATTATTGACCTAATAGTCCATCAGACTAACCTTTTGCAATGACCTTTATATAACGATATCCGAATCCACCTCTCTGTGTAGGCTAAGAGCTTAAGGCTGCAATCCCACATACACTGACCTAAGAGTAAGCTCCCTTGAACTTAATGGGACTTGCTTTTGGATGCACCTGTTTAAGATTCTGCTGCAAGGGAACTGTTTGTGCCATTTGAAAGTGACAAGGGAAAGACACAAACTTTTGAAGCTGCCTAACAAAGCCCTTAGGGACGCAGGTGGCACTGTGGGTTAAACCACAGAGCCTAGGACTTGCCGATCAGAAGGTCAGCGGTTCAAATCCCCACAACGGGGTGAGCTCCCATTGCTCGGTCCCTGCTCCTGCCATCCTAACAGTTCGAAAGCACGTCAAAGTGCAAGTAGATAAATAGGTAACGCTCCGGCGGGAAGGTAAACGGCGTTTCCGTGCGCTGCTGTGGTTCGCCAGAAGCGGCTTAGTCATGCTGGCCACATGACCCGGAAGCTGTATGCTGGCTCCCTCGGCCAATAAAGTGAGATGAGCGCCGCAACCCCAGAGTCGGCCACGACTGGACCTAATGGTCAGGGGTCCCTTTACCTTTAACAAAGCCCTTGGGGAAACGTGCCTGTTCCTCTGGGTGGCTGGTGCTACTGTGGGAGGAGAAGTGACTACTTATGAGCCTTCTTGCTCTCCAGGATCAGTGCTAGAGTAGCGCAAACTGAGAAAATTGTCTCAGGTAGCAGGTATTAGCATGACAGTGAATTGGGACCCACATCCTCAGATGCCATACTTGTTTGTCTCACTACCGCCTGACTGTCATTATTGCTGCTAACACAGGCCACCTACATGCAGCTTCAGCTTTGGTCTGAGGAAGGGGCAAGGGGGGTCCTTCCTCAGAACGAGGCATTCTGGGTGAGGTGACTAGAACAGCAGCTGCTGTGATTTGCTGCAGCAGCAGCACAAGCACTCTCCCGGCCATGACAAAAGGGGAGGGGCAGGCTGAGAATCCGCCAGTGCTTTTAATGCAGCAGCAAAACATTGGGGGGGGGGGGGACTAAATACAGGGGAAAGGGGGAAGAGCAAAGGGGTGGCAGCAACCAGGAGATAAAGGAGGAGGAGTTAGCAATGGCAGGGGGAAACAGCAGTGGGGGGTCGGTTAGTGTAGGGTGCCCTAATTCTTGTGCCAGTCCTGTTGCTCCCTGCATGCTCATTCTGTATATAGTTGAATATAAAGAGATACAGTGGTACCTCGGATTACATGCACTTCAGGTTACAGGCGCTTCAGGTTACAGACTCCGCTAACCCAGAAATAGTACCTCGGGTTAAGAACTTTGCTTCAGGATGAGAACATAAATCGTGCTCCGGTGGCGCGGCAGCAGCGGGAGGCCCCATTAGCTAAAGTGGTGTCTCAGGTTAAGAACAGCTTCAGGTTAAGAACAGACCTCCAGAACGAATTAAGTACTTAACCCGAGGTACCAATGTATTATGAAAATATGAAAACTCTGTACAGTACAGTGGTACCTTGGGTTAAGAAATTAATTCGTTCTGGAGGTCCATTTTGGGATGGAGGGGTAGCAGTGCATGTGATGTGGGGACTTCACTCTTTCTAGCTGCCACTGCCTTGAAAATCGCCCTCACTGGCACACAAATTAGGCCCAATTGTGTGTTTGGGGGGGGGTCACATGAGCTCCCCCCCCAACTCTAATTGCCACTGAAGGGTGATTTTCATAATGACAGGATGCAGGAAGGGAAGGGGTCACTCCCCAAAAAACTGCGGCTTCCCGGAAAATCGCCCTCTGTGCAGCAGTTAGGCTTAGGAAAACAGGCCCCAAAAATGTGACTGGATGTTTCTCTCCCCCAACGCACCCCATTTCCCGCTCTGTAGCTTAATTGCTGTCCAGGGCCAAGGAATACTCATGCTTTAAACAGATCTATGGGGAAAGACCTATTTGTTCATAGGAATCTTCTTTCCTGTATGTAACACTGTCCATGTCTTAACGACTATTTGGTCACAGAATCCATTTGATATGTCTAAATGGGTCTATCAGCAGACAATTCATAGTTATCTTCAAAAAAACAACAACCCCAAAACCATACAGTTTGTTATAGAAATGCTGATAAGTGTTCCCCTGGCAAATTCTTTTGATAATGTAATAGGCTTATTGAAGCATATAGAAAAAAGCTTATAAGAAACACTGATCAAAAGAGAGGAAATGATACATTGCGATGGAAAATATGAAAACTGCATTGCAGATTTAAGATTACATTGGACTTAATAAAGCATAATGGGATGAATATGAAGTATAGAGAACTAATAAAATACATGATAGGTTTGATATAATATGCAATAAACTGAATGGACAAATGCACCCAGTGCTTTGATACAGTGCATATTGAAAAATTCAGGCAGGGATAACGTAGTTTCATCAGATAATGTGTTTCACTCTTTTTGGGGGGGGAGGGGGGTTATTTTATTTTTTAACACCGAAAAGGCAAGTTCAGACAAACTACAAAAAGATGTGGCTCTTTCCAAGCCCTCGGTGTTTGCTCCAGAGCAGTTAAGCTTGGCTTCCTTGCCTCATTACTTTAGCTTTCAGTTATGCTCTTTGCAAATTAACAGTGCTCAGACAGCAAAGCCTGAAATATGATAGATTATTAAGAGGCTGCCCCTTGGATTTTAAGGTTCGGCTTTCCTACACAATGCCTGCCAGATCATTAGTCCTGCTGGAAGGTAGGAGCATAGATGTCACAGAGACTCATTTGTGGAGGGCAATCCAACACATTGTTGCTGGTCCTGTTGCTATGATGCATTCTGTTTCCCAGCAATATTTCGAATGCATTGAAATTTCCCCAGCAGTCCTATGGTTTTTGACAGCCAATGTGCACCCTCAGTTGTGTACCTTCATTTCTTATCTATCAGATGCCACCTGAAGCAGCTCACTTCACCCTGATCCATGGCAGGATCACCCCTCATGATCTCATGTTGTTCTAGTGCTTATGGAAATGCTAATAGCCTACTACAGTTGGTATAAATTCATTCCAAATGTTATCGTATTTATCCATACAGAGCCTGCACCTGTAAGCAGCCTGTTCATAAATTGCCAATGATGTCAGTCCATTGATTGAAGGGTATCATATCTTTATTTTTCCAATTCCTCTTGGCCACCATTAGGGCACGGAAAAACCCATTTCCATTGTCTCGTTGATAATTTCCATGCTGCAGGTATATAGTTCAGTAAAATACTCTCCGCCTAAAGATTTAACTTTTTCTGCACCGTCATAGTTAACAAGTTTGGGGAGAAAGTGCTGGACTGTGTTAAGTAAAGAACAAGGTACAAAGATGTGTTTCAGAGAGGCATTGTCCTTGACACATCCCCAACACTGAGCTATCTTAGCGAACTCATTTTTTATACAACCGTAAAGGGGTCCAATAAACTCTAAATATTATTTACTGTTGTATTGGTCTTAAATCGAATGACACCTTAGGTATTGAAGCCAATACAGTTTCCCACTGTCTGGGTAATAATGATCTTGTCAAAAACTTAACAGGGGGAAAAATGTGTGCCATTATTTTAAGTTGCTGGTGCAGGCTACAATCCCCCCCACCCCCGCCCATTTGCTGGGCTGTAGGTGGTTTGGGTTGAGTCAAGGAGCCCCTCCACTTGCTTTCAGCAGCTCAGCCAGTATACCCCTGCCCACCACTAATGGATTGATGCCTGCATCACTCTTCTGCCCGCAGCATGTACAAGTGGAAGGAAGGCTTACACTGGTATCCACATTGATAAAACCAAGCAGACAGTCCTGTAATGAGGCATTCCAAGGTGGGGCAGGGCTGAGCCAGCCTGGGATCCACTAGATCCTGAGCAGCTCTCACAGTCGGTGCTGGCTGGCATCGGGCCTGATCCGAGCCCGGCTGCAGCATAATCTGAGGCTGGTACAGGGATCAGGACCCATCTGCCTGCCCCCGCCCCTTACACCACTGCCACGAGTGCCCTTGGCAGCAGCGGGTTTAGATTGCAGTCTTACTTGCAAATAGTACATGAGCACGTTCTCCTTCCAGGAGCTCATCAAAGATATTTAACTAACTGGTAATATTTAACACTTATGAATTGTATCTAACTGGAGTAGCAATTGGTTCGATCCCCAGGCTGTTGTCCCATCAGAAACCCTGGTAATCTGCTGTTATTTTAAAAGCAGGATTCAAACTAATTAGAGCAGAATGACCTGCCTTCAATTCTGGGCACCTTCCATATTCCACATATAATAACTTTCTGCAGCTTGAAATAAGGCTTCAAATACTGATGGGGTAATCACTATCATATATGGCACCAGTTGCTCCTGGCGTGGCAGGAAATTGAACAACTGGATGCATCACTAGCATGATCTGGCTGTCCCTTTAAATTAGATGTCTGCGTTTCAACATGAGATCCCCCAGAGTCCCTACAGTGCAGAGCTTCCCGCACTGGGCACAATTTAAGACTGTGCCTTACTACCAAAGGGAAAGAAAAGGACACATCCGTATTCGGCCAGCCTTTGTTGCGAGAAATGGTCTGTATTGTGCAGTGGAGACATTCAGTCCAGCTAAGAAAAATAAAATAAAACACACAACTTTCACCTTCACAATATAGCTTTGTGACCTGAATTGAGCAGATCCACTGAAAAGAAGGCAAAAGGAATAGAAATTGAAAGTCTGCAAGCAATCAGCCCTCCTCTTCAGGGGTATCATCTGTGGAAGTGCCTTGGAAGTTAAATATGTCTGAGCAGGAAGAGCAAACAGAGGACTGGTTTGGAGGTGTTTTTTTTTTTTTTTTAAAAAGAATTAAATGAGATACGAGAATGAAGCTAAGATTGCATCTGCAGTAGATGTCTTTCCTGATGGAAATGTGTAAACTAAGTTTGAGCTCCATGCAGAGAAAACGGAGTGCTGGAACATCGGCATCAGTGAAGTCCTCAAGAGCTCAATGCAGATACAGTCCTCCAAGGAAACACCAAGCCCAAGAGGATGCCAGCGTGGTTAGTGAGCAGAGGCAAGGAAGCTTTTAGAGGCAAGGCAGCTTCCTTCAGGAACTGGAGGCCTTGTGCAAATGAGAATAAAAAGGAACACAAAAGAAATGCAAGCAAACAATAAGGTTACTGCCTAAAGTCTGGGACACTGAGTGGGGAGACCTGGATTCAAATCCTGTGATTCTTTAGAGGTGCTTTAGCAGTGAATGCCCTGCACTGGTAGTGGGCTGGACTCGATGACCTTTGAGGTCCCTTCCAGCTCTGTGATTCACTTTTCTGATTTAGTACTAGGTTGCCTGTCTTAATAGCATGGGGAGTGTCTAACTGGGTGTGACACAGAGATCTGGGCACTTGTTATCTTTCCATTTTTATGTCCCCATATAGAAAATAGTGATATTACCTTCACAAGGTATTTTTTTTTTTTAATGTGTGGGTGTATGGATGGAAAAAACCAATAGTGCTGAATAAATCCTTGGTAATGATATTTTCCCAGAGGAAAAATTTATTTTCAATTGCCTTTGTTCTCAGAGCATCTAAATCTTTCTTTAAAAAGTCTACAAAAGTTCACTGTTAAAGCTTTGACTTTCCAGTTTTGCATATTTAGTCGTTTAGTCGTGTCCGACTCTTCATGACCCCATGGACCAGAGCATGCCAGACACTCCTGTCTTCCACTGCCTCCTGCAGTTTGGTCAAACTCATGCTGGTAGCTTCAAGAACACTGTCCAACCATCTCGTCCTCTGTCATCCCCTTCTCCTTGCGCTCTCAATCTTTCCCAACATCAGGGTCTTCGCCAGGGAGTCTTCTCTTCTCATTCGGTGGCCGAAGTATTGGAGCCTCAGCTTCAGGATCTGTCCTTCCAGTGAGCACTCTCGGCTGATTTCCTTAAGAATGGATACGTTTGATCTTCCTGCAGTCCATGGGACTCTTAAGAGTCTCCTCCAGCACCATAATTCAAAAGCATCAATTCTTCGGCGATCAGCCTTCTTTATGGTTTAGCTCTCACTTCCATACATCACTACTGGGAAAACCATAGCTTTAACTATACGGACCTTTGTCGGCAAGGTGATGTCTCTGCTTTTAAAGATGCTGTCTAGGTTTGTTATTGCTATTCTCCCAAGAAGCAGGCGTATTAGTGTACCAAACAAAACAAGGGCTTTCCTTTTCCTCGCCCTTTTGCTGTATCTGCTCTCTCTTTCTCAGCCTCCTGCAATATTTTCCCCCCAAGGTTATAGCTGCTCAGAAAGAACTCTTGGAGTGTAAACGCATGGGCAACCTCAACTGTGGAGGCTGCTGATGCTCTAAGTAGCCGAGTTGCATATAGAGTTGGCATGTGTGTCCCTGAACTGACTAAATCCACTCCAAATCATTTCTAATGTGCCACAGGGTGATCTCATTAATCTCTGATACTCAGACAGATGATGAGTAGCCCAGAGTCATACACAGAAAATGCCTTTTGGAAATTATTTTGTCTGAGGGCAGAACGTGTCTGATTCCAAGACACTAACATTTGAGTGCCCAGAAGCCTAGTGTGCATTGGGTTTTTTCTTTTTCTTTCCAGATTTGTTCACTGCTAACTAGTGCCAAAAAGCCATTCTGAGCCTTTCAAGGCAATTATTTTAAAGCAAACAGCACATTTAAGACAGAGGGACTTGCACAGTGCGTGCGAGGAAGCTATAAGGAAGACTAATGTTCAGGGTCGTTAAGAGATTTTTATTTAAGATTAAATGAAGTGTGCAATCTTTTTGTATCCTAATTAGAATTCTCACATAGAAATGTGAACAGCTTCATAAAGAGCATAACTTTGACGGTCTGATGCCCAGCTCCAAATGAGGGATGCAGGAATAACTTTTGCTATATATTTTATTGCCATTAGGTGGCATATTTCTCTTCACAAAGGCAACTATAGTCCAGTTGCCCAAAGTCAAAATCTGCTTTTGGGAACATGAATCGGGCTGCCAGAAGGCCTAACCACGTATTCTGATCTTGGACTTAGCTATACAGCAGCAAATAAAACATTTTAAGTGTGTTGTAAAGTAAAGTGCATTATACAAATTTGACACTAGATGGCGATGGTGAGCTATGGCAAATTCAATATATTTTTCAAAACTTTTTTTTAAAAAACAATTGCACAACATTTTTCATATGTGTCTAGATTCTACCCTTCTCTTCCTGTATATCATTGTAAGATGGAAGGAACATTCCTCCTCCTGTTGCAACACTATATCTTCTCCCACTGTCCTCCATTTGTTGGGGTGCAGAACTTCTGCACTGCAGATCCTTTTCTGCTTGTGGAGGATATACCTGTACCATTTACAGCCCTGATCGTCTAGTTTAGCCTGCATAGTGTGGAGGACTCCATGAGTGGTGGTGACAGTGAAATGACGGAGGAGGCAGGTTTTGTGGGCACACCCTGCTCTTCTGAACACTTGAACAGGACTACTGTGTGATGAACTCACCTTTGGTGAGTATGAGCAGTTTCTCAGAATGGCAGGTATATGCACCTGACCAGTCCATCTAAATGTTGCATGCTGTTATTGGGATGCTATGTGTGGGTTTGACCTGAATCATCACGTGTCTTCTTACATAAAAGGGGAAAGGGTCACAAGCTGCAGTTGGAAGAGTCATTATGCATACAAGTTGTCCGTGTGGAGGGCAGAGGTGCCAACTTGTATAAAATATTGGAGGGGCCTTGTATCAATCACAAGATGCGGCACACACAGAAACTATTTGAGTGACAATGCTCATTAACTTTGGGGGGTTTGACCCCCTCAAATATTTTATTGTGGGGCCCGAAGGGACCTTGGCCCCTAGGTTAAGGTAAAGGGACCCCTGACCATTAGGTCCAGTTGTGGCTGACTCTGGGGTTGCGGCGCTCATCTCGCTTTATTGGCTGAGGGAGCCGGTGCAGAACTCCGGGTCATGTGGCCAGCATGACTAAGCCGCTTCTGGCAAACCAGAGCAGTACACGGAAACGCCATTTACCTTCCCGCCAGAGCGGTACCTATTTATCTACTTGCACTTTGACGTGCTTCTGAACTGCTAGGTTGGCAGGAGCAGGGACCAAGCAACGGGAGCTCACCCCGTCACGGGGATTTGAACCGCCGACCTTCTGATTGGCAAGTCCTAGGCTCTGTGGTTTAACCCACGGCGCCACCCATGTCCCTACCTTGGCCCCTAGGAGTTGGCTAATAGGGTGCTGGGTGTGTGTGCAGAATGACTTGGGACAACAGGCAGCTAGCAGATAGAGAGGGCGCAGTGATGGGATCGATGCCTACTGGTCCAAACCCATGTCAACACTTCTTTTGTGCATAGGCTTAGTGCTCTGGAGCCCTGAAAAGAGCAGTTGATATGCATGGCCCAACTTGCATCTCCAACTGAACAAGGGCAGGAATAGTGGGCACAATCCTCACCCCCTCCCATGTTTATTTACCCAAACACACTTTGTTATTTGTACAGCGTCAGAATCAAAAAGTATAACGTGCAATGACATGGAGGTAAATGTCAGCTTACCTGATGCAGCGCGCCAACGATTTTGCGGGCCTCTTGATAGACAGTTTCAGGACTCCAGTGAGGGTTGACTTCCTTCAGCGCTTTTGCCAGGCGGTTGTGCTCTCGCAACCAAAGTGTATGCATAGCTGCCAGTGAAGGGACTTCACTAGCTCGACTGTCTCCCGCCATGAAGCATTCTATCCTTTCTTTCTTGTCCGCCTTGGGGTCTTGAGCGCAAAGGGAAGGCACCTGGGCCACAAAAGGAAGGTATTCGCGGCCATTGTCAAAATACTGTGTGTTTATTCTCAGGAGGCCCTCTTCGCTTGTCAGGTTCCTCAGTTTGTTCTCTGTTGCGGGCGTGCTGCCATAAACAGTCGATGCGTCAAGGAAGGAGGTGAGGCTATTAATCTGTTGCCTTGGATTTAAGACAGAGAGGTTTCCTATGAGAAATCCTTGGTGGCCAGTGGCACATGCAGGGGATGAGCGGTAAAATGGCAGGCAGTTCAGGCTCGTAGAGAATGTATCGTTGGCAAAAACCTGCGGATTAAGTAAATACCTTTCGTTAGGGAACATACTTCACAACTATGACACAACTCTTGCTGATGCACATGTGGCTGAACTCTTAGGGCTGCTTCTTATGGTGTATTGTGCACACAGTGGATTAGATCTCTGAGTGGAAGGCCTCTTTCATTTTCATGACACATCAGTTGAAATATACTCGGAGTCGAGAGTGGATTTCATGCTCTTCATTCAGCTCATAGTGGTGAGGAGGAATGAATGTTCCCCCAAAATATCTGCTTTATATACATTATTTACACAATGGGCTGCACGTGATTGGCTAATTCCCGGATTCTCCTGTAGGCCAATCAGGTTGTGGATTCACTTCCACCTGGAGCTGGATTGGGTGGCTCCTACGGACCAATCAGACTGCTGCATTCTGAATCCTATTGTTCTAGGACCAATCAGACAGCTGCATTTTGGATCCTATTGTTCTAGGACCAATCAGACTGCTGCCTTTTCGATCCTATTCAACTCAGTACATAACATCAGTTGTCAAGGGAACAGGGGCATGTGCACAAATCACACCCTTCCCCTTGCACTTGGCATAAAGCAGTTTAATGCTCTTGTTTAGAAAGGACAAATCCTTTTGTTGTTACTGTTAAACAGTTGGGCTCCACAGGCAAATTAAAGGAATATATTGATTTTTTTTTGCTGTTTTGCTGGTCTGATTGTGTTCCATTTTACAGTTCCAGGTCTTTATTTGAAATCTATTCAATGGAAAATCTGCAGTTTCAGTTTAGGCATCAATTAATACCCCATCAATACATAATCACTCAAAGGGCCCCCAAGTTTTAATGGACACAGATATCATTTGCAGTTTCACAACATATGGGCTCTGATTTTAAAACCTGTTTTTTGGTGGGGTGAGGGGGAAGAGTTAAAATATGAGAATACATAGCGTGTTGGTCTTGTAAATACATGTATTACTTATGTGAATGACAAAGTGGTTAAACAGGCATAATTGGGGTAAGGCGGCCCTTTAAGTAAACTGTTCCTAAGCTGCTAAGGGCTTTATAGTAACACTTTGAATTTGGCCCAATAACAAATTGACAGCCAGTGTCGATCTCTGAGCAGAGGTGCACTATGCTGACACCCGTCTCAGCTACCACCAAGGCTACCTAGGTCCTCCAGGAGCGAAGCTGGAACCAGAAGCCAGATTGCATTCGTGCTCCTTCAAAGGAAGTGCAGTCCTGTCCAGGGCAGGCAATTGGCCAATTTCTCAGATATTTGTAAGAATGATGGGAGGTTTTCAGTAGCCCACCAGAATAAAGGTATATGTGTGCATGTGTACGTGCAGTATTTGAAAATGAAGGATGCACAAAACCCACATACACATTTTTTTTACCTGACATACCTACAAGAAAATACGACTTAGAAATGTGTTTCTCCGCCAGGCCAGGGCCTATTAGTAGACAAAATGAGGGTCAGCTGGCTTAGCAGATGCTGGAAAGGAGAGAATGAAAGCAAGGTCTTGGGAGGGTAGACCTGTGTGTACACATGGCCGGCCTACAACCCCTAAGCTAACCTGGTGCCCTCAGCTGCAGGGAAGGTTGTTGTTCTGTATTGAAGTAGGCTTCTGTGCACAGAATGGGAGATGATGGAACTCCATCTTGTCCTTGGCCCTGTTGCCCCTACCCATTTTGTCTGAAGTTTAGCAACACATCACCTAATGTAATGAACCATGACAAGGCAGGATAAGAAAAATGGGCCGTTCCCTCATGGGGAACTCTCTCAGTTGTGAATTTCAAAAGATAACCAAACTTTGGAAAGAGGACAAATTTTCTCTGCCATTATGTACGATTGTTAAGGAAGGGCTGGTACTTTTCAATACAGTTTGCTAAAATAACCCCTCAAGGGAAACCTCTGCAGTGCTTTGATAAAGAAAAAAAGCACCAGCTTTGTAGAGATTGCTGACCTAATCCACCTTTTCTTCTGTTTGCTGTTGAGAGTAGTTCTTTTTTTTTTTAAGCATATACTCTAGAAGTCAAGATAAGCTCTATAAACCCCTATATTAATCTTGCAGGTATCATATATTACATTACAAATGCATCAAATCTGTTCCATGTTCAAGGTGCTATTAACAAACAAAAAGGGGATTTTTAAATTTGTGTTAATGCAGGTGGAGAAAAACCAGACTGAATGGGGGAAATGCCAGGCACACAGAGAAGAAATCTGAGATTTAAATGAGATGATGAGGGCTGAAGGATACTTGTAATGGAGCTTTAAAATCTGTGGCTTAATGACATTTCCCCCCCACATTATTCAATAGGCCGTGTTGGTTTTTTTCTTTTTCTTTTCTAAAATAGCACTGAAAACTCATTACTGTGGGGAATGCTATCAAGGAGGCTATTATGTTAAATACTTGCTTATCTTCTAAGCTGATTAAAACTTGTTTGATTAATAAATGCTCCCACTTCTTTGCTCATTAGTTTAGTGGAAACAGTTCCAAGGAGTGATCCTTTATTTTGACAATGAATATTTCTCTGGTTAATCGTGGCCTTTATTGCCTCTGTTGTGTAATCAAGTGTTTTCTTTGCTTGATGTTCCCCTGATGCAGTGTTTGCCTCCTTTATTAATTTGGTCGTTTAGATGCATCTTATTTTCCCTTTCAATTGAAGAGAAGGAATTTTTAGGATCCAATGGACCTCCATTCCCCCCGCTGAAAATGAGCCTAAGCCCAGGTTAACTCCCATTGCTCATATCCACCCCTCTTTCATTCTTCTCTTCCTTTCCTCTCTTGCCTTTCCCAATTTAAACTGTAAATTCCTCAGAGCCAGAGCACCAAATGAATCTATGGCAACACTGTTCCTACTATTGCTTGGTGTGACTATATTGGATCCTATATTCTTTTGAAACGCTGTTTGTGAAGTAGAATCTGAATACCGGTAAATTCACTAGGCATTTAATTACTTAGTGAACTAAGGTGAAAAGGTTCTTGCAACACACCAAGCGGTGGCAGGGGGAGGGGTAGGAATCTGTCAGTTTTTGTTTCTCCCCATTTCTCATTTTCCCATTCTTAAGTTCTCTACATTTTAAAAAGTCCTCCTGAAAGCTCACCAGCATTTTAGTGCAGATTTATCCTAATGTACATACTTCTGTATGTAATTTTGCCTCAAATGCACATTTCTGCAAAGCAATTTCCCCTCATGCAATGCATTTTGTATGTTATTAAGGTAAAGGGACCCCTGACCATTAGGTCCAGTCATGACCGACTCTGGGGTTGCGGCGCTCATCTCGCTTTATTGGCCGAGGGAGCCGGCGTACAGCTTCCAGGTCATGTGGCTAGCATGACTAAGCCACTTCTGGCGAACCAGAGCAGCGCACAGAAACACTGTTTACCTTCCCACTGGAGCGGTACCTATTTATCTATTTGCACTTTGACGTGCTTTCGAACTGCTAGGTTGGCAGGAGCAGGGACCGAGCAACGGGAGCTCACCCCGTCGTGGGGATTCGAACCGCCGACCTTCTGATCAGCAAGTCCTAGGCTCTGTGGTTTAACCCACAGTGCCACCCGCATCCCTATGTTATTGTATGTTATTACCCATTCATTTATTTTAATTTATTTGTTTATGTCCTTACTATGTTGCTTTTTAAGTGATATCAAACATGCCTCATGTCTTCTTGTTCTTGCAACCTAGAACATCTTACTGTACTGTATTTACATGAAGTTATTTCCTTTGCACAGTACCATGCCAGAAGGAAAGCTCAGCTTGTCTATTACAAGGGGGAAATATAGAGGCATAATTTTGTACCTGAAAGTTTTACCTTCTGTGGCTCATTGCAGTTCATTGGGCAAATTGGGTTAGAGATGGTGCATTGGAGCCGAAACACAGATGCCTTCTGCTCCCCACCCTCAATGATCCTGACCCAAATAAGCCCCTCCCCTGGATACTTCTTTTTTTCTAGGAAAGAAAAATAGATGTGGCGTTCCAATCACAGAACCACTGTGAAACATCATCCTACATAGACCCCAAATCCTATGTGATCTGCAAGAGCAACACCAATGCTTGCAACAATCGTATGTGCTCTTTTATAATACAGTGGTACCTCGGGTTACATACGCTTCAGGTTACATACGCTTCAGGTTACAGACTCCGCTAACCCAGAAATAGTGCTTCAGGTTAAGAACTTTGCTTCAGGATGAGAACAGAAATCGTGCTCCGGTGGCACGGCAGCAGCAGTAGGAGGCCCCATTAGCTAAAGTGGTGCTTCAGGTTAAGAACAGTTTCAGGTTAAGTACGGACCTCTGGAACGAATTAAGTACTTAACCCAAGGTACCACTGTACCTAGGAGTCATAATCAATGCTCCAAAAAAATGTGCTCTGAGAAATTACAGGACCAAAATGAACTAGGCTCCTTCTTTGTAGTTCACCTCATTTCCAAGCGCTAACTCAGAAGCAAAGCTCTGCCGGATAAGATTAAATGAATTTAAAGACTTCGACGCAAATGGAAAGGAGTATCAGGCTATATTTTCAACCTGCATACCTTGATCTGAATACTTGAACAGAGCCCCTATACACATGCGGAGCTCTGTCCACACAATTATCATCGTGAACACAAAGTTACCAATTGTGTAGACTGGAGGTGGGCAATCTGTGGCCCTCCAGATGTTGTTGGACTTTTAACTCATCCCTGTCAGGGGCTGATGGGAGTTGGAGTCTGACAATATGTGGAAGGCTACAGGTTCCCCATCCTGGGCAAGTACGGCTGTATGCAAGAGGACCTCTGCAGACACTCACATGATCGATGGATGCTAGGGCAGTACCTTGCCTAAACTAGTGACCTTCTAGGTGCCTCCTGCCTCCTCCTTTGGCAGGAAGATAACAACCCACCTTGGTTATTTGATGAAGTCTATCAATAAAGAAATGCTTCTAGAACAGGATTCTAGCTAAAAAGGACCCACCTGACCTTAGCTTTTCACATTGAAGAGTTAGAGAGCAGATCCTCTGCTTAAAATTAGAGGCAGTATATTCACAGGATGTTTCATCCTGAATCATTAGAAGAAAATATTTCCAGCTATTTAAAATAAAATATAATTACGACGCTGACTTTTTTTTAATTAATTATTGCAGAGGCCATCAAATAGCTACCAGCTATTAAAATCTCTCTCTGAATTGTAATTATCATACTCAAGAGGGTCCTTCTATTTTGAAAAAAGAAAATCCGTTGCTCAGAGGGATGTTTCTTATTCTCAATCCTTAAGAAAGGAACGTAAATAAATCGAGGTTGAAAAACAAACCCTAAAACACAAATTGTTCAAAGGGGCAGATAATCAATTTAATTGCATTGGGCACATTTAATAGAACTGGCTGGTTTCTTGTGATTTGAATCATATGTTTTAATGCTTTTAAATAAATAAATAAATAAATAAATAGCATATTTGTTAATAAGGTAAGTTGCCTTGGGAGAGTTTTGAAAAGTGGCTTAGGTCACATCCAGACCAAACATTTAAAGCAGTCTTGTACCAATTTAACAGTCATAAATTTCTCCAAATCAGGCATCCCCAAACTCAGCCCTCCAGATGTTTTGGGACTACAACCCCCATCATCCCTAGCTAACAGGACCTGTGGTTAGGAATGATGGGAATTGTAGTCCCAAAACATCTGGAGAGCCAAGTTTGGGGATGTCTGCTCCAAGTAATCCCAGGAACTATAGTTTGTTAAGGGTGCTGGGAATTGTAGCTCTATGAGGGTTAAACAACAGTTCCGAGGATTCTCTGTTATAAACAAACAAACAAATTGTCACCACATCTGATGGATGAATGTTCATAGAACAATAGAATCATAGAATTGGAGAGCTGGAAGGCACCCATCTAGTCATCTAGTTCAGGGTCATCTAGTTCAGGCACCCCCAAACTCGGCCCTCCAGATGTTTTGGGACTACAACTCCCATCATCCTAGACCACTGGTCCTGTTAGCTAGGGATGATGGGAGTTGTAGTCCCAAAACATCTGGAGGGCTGAGTTTGGGGATGCCTGATCTAGTCCAGTCACCTGTATTGTAGGAATCTCAACTAGATCACACATGACAGATGACCATTTGTATGTTTGCCGTCTGCTGTCCTTAATTCTGTGGCTCTTCACCCTCAGAGCTCATCTCCTCTGTCCTGAAAACATAGTTCAAATCCACCCGCTCCTTCCTCAAGCAATGTCCCATCATGCTTTGCTCAGATGAGTGCCTGATGTAGCATTGGCTCAGCTTTCAGGTTCAGAGGAGAGAGAGAAAACTGCTTCTGCCTGCTTGTTCACTCTCATTATCATATCAAACACCTTCCCCCTTGAGGATTTTTGCAAGACCCAAAGGGGCCAGCGTGGGGCTCATTTCCCTCCCAAGAACTGGAGAGTTGGAATGGAGGTCAAAGGTCATCCAACTCCTTGCACAGCACAGAAAAGTCACTACAACATCATCCCTGATAGGTGGCTATTTAACTTCTGCTTAAAAACTTCCCACAAAGAAGAGTCCACCACCTTCTAGGACAGTGCCTTCCACTTTGAAACACCTTGTAACCATCAGGAAGTTATTTCCATCTTAAATGGGACTGCATTAAAAATTCCATCTTTTAATTAGTGTACCAAGTGTTGAAAGGCACTAGCAAAAATTAGCTTGACCTAAGATACAAAGGATTCTTGTGAACATCCTGTGGCACAATTGCTCCATAAAGTTTCATAAATACACATTCCTATACACTTTTTCCATTGCAATAGGTTCATCTAACTTTCTCTGCCTTTGTTTTAGAAACTGTGTTTTGTATTAAATGCAGCCAGAATTTCCAGACAATATTATTATGCCGACGACAATCACAATACACAACTGAGAATGGTCACGTGCATTTTGACCCCCCCACCCACAGGATAGCACACTGCCTATGAAGGAGACAAAAACACCTCCCAAAATGTTTTAGAAAAATCTTTCTGGTTGCTCCTATTGGACAGGTGGCAGCACAATGAGAAGCCTCTTTTGTTAGCTATGCTAGCCTTGGTGTCAAGTCTTCCTTGTGCAAAGTAGGGGGCATATAAGCTACGGTATATGACCACCAGCAACAGTTTTTGTAATTTTCTTGCACAGTACAGTTGCTACATTTTACACAGCGGAAGCTCACACCCATCAGACTTCGTATGAGCCTATTTAAATGGACAGTAATTTTGTAATACTCAATCTCGCAACATACTGAAGGTAGGAGAATAATCCATGCAGCGATTCCTTAAATGAGTGATATTCATGTATGTGCTACCTGCTTTGAAAAGAATCCATGCAGCTATTTCTTAAAAGTAATATTCATTTATGTGCTGCCGGCTTTGAAAGGAATGGGACAACCTATATGTGCAGGAGAGCCTTATATGCATGGGGGAAATAATTTATAGTTTATGGTGCAATTAGACGTGATATTTCTTTTAAAAATCAACGGCACCTTAATGTACAGTGGTACCTCGGGTTAAGTACTTAATTCGTTCCGGAGGTCCGTTCTTAACCTGAAATTGTTCTTAACCTGAAGCACCACTTTAGCTGCCGGAGCACGATTTCTGTTCTCATCCTGAAGCAAAGTTCTTAACCTGAGGTACTATTTCTGGGTTAGCGGAGTCTGTAACCTGAAGTGTATGTAATCTGAGGTACCACTGTAGTATAATAATAATAATAATAATAATAATAATAATAATCTGGCATAGACTCCTCCCTAAGCCATCTGGCACAGTAAAGTTTTTTACCAGCAAGAAACATTCTCATTATACTTACAAAAAAGTATCAAAACAACTGTTTAAAAATTGGAAAGGGGAAACAACAGTAGATTCTCAAAATGCACAGGCAATCAAAGTTTCCAGGCAATTTTAAAACCTAAGATGAAAGGAAGACAGACAAATATCAGGAGGGCGAGGGTGCCACACCTGACACCAGCAGAGGCACCATCAATTGCTGACTGACATCCCTGTGGAAGGAACCTCAAACAGTGAGTTTTGCCTGACTGCAAAGAGCCCTCAGGGTGAGCTTCCAGGAGCGAGTCTTGGGTATTACTGTAGCCAACTATAACCTAGGAAATTTTTTTCCCATCTGTTTTAAATACATGTTTGTTTGCTACTTTTTGAAGGGTGAAAAGGGCAACACTTTGGTTTGGAAGAATGCCCATTTTCCAGCTCTATAATTTCACAGCGTCCACTGATGGGGGAAACAAGTACAAGACAAAACAATCTTTAGATATTCTGAAACTGTACCGTTAACAGGATGCAGTTCTGTAGCTCATTTCCCAAGTGGAGCGCTTGACGTGGTACTTTCATCTGCCAGAATGTGTACTATGGAAGAGCATGATGATATTCCACAGGAAGACGTAGGTCCAGGATAATAAAAAATATCTCTCTATGGAGCCCTCTTATTTGAAGAAGCAGCAAAACAAAACCTAGCCAGGATAACACTCTCCTTGACAATTCTTATTCTGCAAAATACCCTCGGTAGCATTTCAAAAATATGGCCAGAGAAGCACATTGCAAATAATTACTTATTTACCAATTTGCAAGAAGCTTGCCAGATAATATCACCTTAATTCCACACACGCCTTTAGCTAAATCAAATGAATGAAACAAAGATCTAGATCAGAAATGTCAGAGTAACTCCAAGTGTGAGAGTTTGCATTTTTGTCTGGTCCATCCCTGCTGGCACAGTGAAACCTAGGTCTGAGCAAAATGTTCTTAAGAATAATTCAGTTTCAACTAAAAGTAAACTAAACAAACTAAATGGCTCAGTCCATAAGGCTACAGCTCAAGTCATCCCTGACCACTTGCCATAGGAAGGAGGACCTCATATTGACCACCACTACATCGTGTTCTTTGATTCTTCAACAGTTAATTCCAGTTCATATGAACATAAGAAGAAACCTGCTGGATCAGGCCAAAGGCCTATTAGTTTAAAATCCTGTTCTCACAGGGGCCAACCAGATGCTTATGAGAGAGGAACCCCCAAACAGGACCTGACTTGTGATTCCCAGGTGGTACATGGTTGCTATTGAAAGCCTCCTTGAATTTGTCTAATCCTCTTTCAAAGCCTCCTTGAATTTGTCTAGTGGCCATCACCTCCTCTTGTGGAAGCAAATTCCACACAGATTGCTGTTGGCTCGCTGCACAGCTTTTACAATTTCACAGAGTGATTTTGGATTGGGAGGGAAAACTAGCCTATGCTCCTAACTGTTAGGTGCAATGGCATAAGAGTTGGGGAAGCAACTGTCACCTTCCTACCCCTGTTCCCAATAGAAATCCAGAACTGTAGAAGCAACTTTGCTTGTAGGTTGTAAAGGCTGGGTCCCTAACTGCTATGCCAGATATGCTGGGTATGTTCACATCCTTCGCAAGGGCCCGTAGTATGTCCAGGGTAGGTTTCTTGTCCTTGTCCATCCTAAGCAGTATCAGGTTTCTGTTGCATCTGAAATAGCTATATAAATGGGAGTCTCTGTGGCTCAGTAGGTGCACCTCCTCGTTCAAAGGAATTATAATTTGGCCTTTAAATTTAGGCATTATTCTGTGTTGTTCTTGACTTGCATTGTACAGAAAGGGAAATTTAAAATGGAGTAAGAACAGTGGTGCCCCGCAAGACGAATGCCTCGCAAGACGAAAAACTCGCTAGACGAAAGGGTTTTGCGTTTTTTGAGTCGTTCCGCAAGACGAATTTCCCAATGGGCTTGCTTCGCAAGACGAAATGTCTTGCGAGTTCTTGCGAGTTTGTTTCCATTTTCTTAAAGCCGCTAAGCCGTTAATAGCCGCTAAGCCGCTAATAGCCGCTAAGCCGCTAATAGCCGTGCTTCGCAAGACGAAAAAACCGCAAGACGAAGAGACTCGCGGAACGGATTAATTTCATCTTGCGAGGCACCACTGAATTTTAATTAACGGGAAACACTTCATGTCAAAACAAACAGTGACTAGCAGGAATGAATAATCTGGCAATGGGGAGGCTTGCTATAGTGAAGGCACTGTAAGGGGACTGTTAAGCCAGCGAAGGAGTAACTGAACACTGAATTCTTTGCTTAAGAGCTTTTGTATTCTTCAGGGGAAGGTGCTAATCAGTAGAAAGTATCTTCCAAAGGTGCCTTCTGCTTTTCAAGCAGTGTTGTTTGCCAGGAGGAGGAGGAGGAAAAATCTTCCACAGAACAGCAAATTATTGCATTCATTAATTCTAGGGATCATACTGCTTTTGACAAACACACATTTTCAAGGATAGAAAGCTCATACTAAAAACATGCAGCAGAATTACAGCCTCATATATATTCTAACATATATCCTCAGAGAAGGGCCATATAGCTCAGGGGTAGAGCCAGTGTGGTGTAGTGGTTAAGAGCGGTAGTCTCCTAATCTGGGGAACCGGGTTCGCGTCTCTGCTCCTCCACATGCAGCTGCTGGGTGACCATGGGCCAGTCACACTTCTTTGAAGTCTCTCAGCCCCACTCACCTCACAGAGTGTTTGTTGTGGGGGAGGAAGGGAAAGGAGAATGTTAGCTGCTTTGAGACTCCTTAAAGGGAGTGAAAGGCGGGATATCAAATCCAAACTCTTCTTCTTCTTCTTCTTCTTCTGCGCATAACACCCCCCTGTGTATAAGACTCCCCCTATTTTGGGTGACAAAAATTTAAAAAATGGGGGGAGATTACCTGGAGTTGTTGAACTGTTTTGGGGGAAGGATTGCCGAAAAACACTTACCTGCCAGACCTACGCTAACACTCGTGCGTGTTGCGACAGCCTGCTAATGTCTGTCCCCTCGCTGGTAGAAGCAGCCAATTGCCTGCCCAATTACCGCAGCAACAGCCACCCCTTGATGCAGCCACCAGTAACACGCTGCTGACAACCTCCGGCTTGCAGCATCAACCAATCCCATGTCCCCCCTATGTACTATCCGTGTATAAGACGCCCCTATTTTGAACACAATTTTAGAGTATAAAAACCTAGTCTTATACAAGGAAAGGTACGGTATCTGCTTTCCATGCATAATGTCTCATGTTCAGTCCCTGGCATCTCCAGGCAGTGCCCGAAACACTGGAAAGTCACTGGCCCACAGTCACTCTAAAAAAAATAAATAATAGCCCTTCATAGCAATACATATGGACATAAGGATGTTTTTTTGAGAGCACAACAAGTATCAAGAACAGCTGTGGCTCAGTGGTAGAAGCATCTGCTTTGCATGCAGGAAGTCCCACATTCAATTCCCAGCATCTGCAGGGAGGGATGGTCAAGAACCACTGTCTAAAATCTTGGAGGCCTACTGCCAGTCGGTGTATACAATAGTGACTTCATTATTGGGTATGTTCCTATGGAATAGCGTACCTGTAATGCTAACTTATTGTGGCTAATAAAAACTAATTGAAAAAGGAACTCAAAATTAGTGAATTTTGATAACACTCTGAAAATCAGTTCATCCCCAGTGAAATAATAGCTTTCTAGATTTTGTGTTTCGCTGTCTTTGCCCTCATAGGAAAATTTAAACTGAATGACACCTTTAAAACAGAGAATTATTTGTTTCTACTTTCCTTACTGGAATGAAAAACTTGATGCAGAAGACCATAGTAACCCCCCCGCCCATCCTGATAAAACTCTTGGTTTAGCAACAAAATATAAACATGGCCTTATTTATTCTCTCATATTTTAACTACTTTTATCAACCATTATATTTTAAAGAAAACAAACCGAAAGGATACCTGTATTGGAAAACATGGACTCCTGTTTTCACAGGTCCGTTGGCAGTCTGCTTCTCCCAGAAAGGAAGGTCGATTTACACTCTGTGGCGTAAATGCAAGGTCATGACTGATATATTGCCCCCACACAGTGATCATATCAGAATGTCGCTCATCTTCAGTAACAGCCTCATTAGATACCTCAATAATGTTTCTTGTCACTTCACGCACCTGGAGAAAAAGAGTTAACTGAGTTGGCACATGAGACACTACTTACTTTTCATTCAATAGCCAAAGGGGGTGAAAGCAACTAAGAACTGACCACTTTAGCCAAAATAACGTAAGTCACAAAGTTGTTCTATTTTAAAAACATATTTCAGTTTTATTAATTTGTTAAACATGTACAACTTAAACAGCTTAACACACACACACACCCTCTCTCTTGGCAAAGTTGTTTTGAGGCAGGGATAGGGAAACTGTGGCTCTCTGTATTGTTGGAAACCAATCAGCCTCAGTCAGCCTAGTCAACGGTGTGGAATGATGGGAGTTATAGTTCAGTAATATCTGAAGAGCCATAGGATCCTCAGTCCTGCTCTAAGTGGTAAATGAGAAGCCATAGGTGCCAACTCCCTGGGGCCCTGGGTGCCCGAGCACCCACAAATTCCCCATGAAGGGGCCAGGCACCCACAAGTTTCACTGCCAGGGTCACACACGCTGCATGGCACCCACAGCCCCAGGCAGCCACTCCTGCGAGAAGCTTGTCTTTAATTATCTTTAGGCAGAAACAAAGGACCTTATTGCATGGTAGCTACATTAGCACTGCGATCCTGTGCCAGTCTGCTTAGAAGCAAGTCTCATTTGTTACTGTTTAGTGGGTGGGTTTTATTTTTTCCTTCATCACATTCTCTCTTGTGCTGTGGCTCTATGCCTGGAAACTTCGTTGATGCAGGGTATAGAAATCTCTTATAAAAAAATACACGTTTTAATGATTTCACAGAGTACCAACCGACGGCAATGGAAATCCATTATGTAGGAAACCGTAATTCCATCCTTTGGGCTGACTTAGTCCATCTTCATAAACTGGAGGAAGCCATCTAGCCAGAGCTGTGTTGGAGGCTCCCCATCTAGGATGCTCCCTATGCAATTAAAATGTTTTAGAATACATTTTGATATAACCAGCAATATTAACTGCAGCAGGCATGTGGGCAAATATTCAAAATCTACGAGTTCAATTCAGTGACAGATTTATGAAAAGCGATCATATGCAACTCCTCAAGCTTGGGATAAGTATGGAACAAGTTTAAGGTTTGTTTTTAAAAGTCAGCTATCCCCTGCAAAACTTTTTATAGCTGGAGGCTGTGGCCAGGATCCAAAGTGCCATGGAACAAATTCCACTTTCTCAATGGAGCTTTGAACTTGTGGGTATCAAACAGGCAACACCCCATACCACACTATATACCTCTCTTGAATCTGGAGGGGATTTTCAAAGGAATTTGCAGCATGACATAAAGAAAGGGGAAGGGGAGATGTCAAACATTTTGCTTGGCATGCCCAAGTCCTTCCACAGTAGTAACTCTTTGGATCCTGGCCTGTAAACACAACTCATGTTATTATGACCTCTTGGAATATGGCTCAAGAGCAAGAAAGAAAACTAAGATCTCAAGGAAATCACCCAAAGCCATGTGATTATTGGGAATAAGGAAGGAAAGAGGTTGAAAAAGATGAGAGGTTTTCACGTTGAATGGAGGGCAATTTCATGTTCATGCACACTCAACTGCATGGGTTTAGTGGGCTATGGCAAGCCCTTTGCTATTTTCAGAGCTCCCCAAACCTGGGGGCAATTAATTCTTTCTTTGTGCAAATGGCATAGGTGAAAGCACAAAGTCCCAAGTAAGCTTCTCTAAGTGCCCAAAACAGCTTTCTCAATCTCTTTCCCTCCAGATGCTTTGTAGTAGAGCTGCCACAATCCCTTGCCACTGCCCATGCTAGCTGGGGCTGATGGGAGTGGCAGTCCAACAACTTAGGGAGCTTGGGAAGGCTGCTCTAAAGAATGAGCAAGGAATGATGATGATAGGAAGAAGAACAGATATTTACTGGAGCACCAAAGTAAAAAGACTGTTCTATATAGGAGTCCCTGCAAGGTGCAACTGTACAGAAAGACACAGATGATCTACGCGAAGTTAGTCATACACTTATGTTTCTGTAGGGACACTTAACAGGGAACAATTATTTTAGTAATACTTCATTGATCTTCAGTATACAAAGGGGCTCAATTTGCAAAGCAATGTGGGACAGTAATACATTTAATTAACTGCGATAATTCACATTTGAAGGTTGACGTACGCCTTAATAAAGCATTCAGATTAGTTACAGCTGATTTGTCTTTATTGAAATGGCATAAAATGCTGCACATAGTGCTATTTCACTCAATTAAAAGTAATGATATGTTAATTTAACAGCTTAACCAGTGATTTTCTTCCTGATTGCTTTAATATTTTAGCAGATCACTGGAATGTTACTGGGGTAAGGAACCTTTCTTTTCAAAAGCGGTGGGGAGGCAAACAGAACTGCAAGCACATTCTGAGTGCTTGTGGATTTGTTCCCTCAGCTGAAACAAATGGGGAAACCCGAATCTTCAGCAACATGAGCAAGAGTGCTGAGTTCAAGGAAGAATGCACAGAAATATCCATAGTGAAGGGTAGGGTACAATTTTTTGACACAGTCCATCATCTGCCAAGGGCAACCTGTGTTCATATAAAGCTCCGGTTCACAGCCTGAATGCAAATCTAAACTTTATAGATTTCTTTATTTGCAAGGTTGCTTAATCTAACTACAGTGGTACCTTGGTTTACAAACTTAATCCATTCTGGAAGTCCGTTCTTAAACCAAAGTGTTCTTAAACCAAGGCATGCTTTCCCATTGCAGTGGGGGACTCAATTTACACTCAACAGGAAGTGGAACATGTTCCGTTTCCAAGGCAAAGTTCACAAACCTAAACACCTACTTCCGGGTTTGCAGCATTCTTAATCCAAGTTGTTCAAAACCTAAGCTGTTCTTAAACCAAAGTACCACTGTATATCTTAATACCGAACTGCCAGATTCAATATACATGTAACATTAAAGCACTTACTGGGGCTCCTCAAAGATGGTTCAGGGTTTAAATGATACTGCACATTCCCACAAACATCTACAGGCATCAGATGCGTCCATAATGGGCTAAACAGCAAACATTTATCCTTAATTGCAAGTAACTGCTACAACTACATTTTTTCAAACGAGCTTGTAAAAATTCTAAGGATTCTCAAATGAAGCAAACCCAGAGAGTTTCAATGTGAAACTAAGTGAGTATGGAAGACCAAGGAAAAACAAGGGAGGCCAGCCTGTTTTGTATTACAAGATGGGGAGTCAACATAATTATACCTCTTGCTGTAAGATTTACCTGTTCTGGCAAGCTCCGGTGATATGTCTGTATTTCCTGGTCATACAATTGTTTGGGCATTTTGGTGGCAGCATGTAAGGCAGACATCCAGATACATTGGTAATCATCATGAGAACATCAGCAGGTAACACGTCTGGAAATTAAAAACACGGCTTCTTTCTTTGTGCACAGCATTTGACTACCATTCATTATCTGTGGAATGCTCTCCCCAGCAATGCCTGCCTGGCACCTTCTTTGACATATTTTCGTTGCCACAGAAAATCTAATCTTTCCCCCAATGTTTTTGATAGACTACATTGTTTTGTTGCCTAAACTTCCTGTGTCTGTTTTGGAAGTTGTTTTATTCTCTTTTTAATGGTAGAATACTAATGTTTGTAAATGTTGCCTCTTGAAAGGCTTTGGGTAACAACGCAAATTAATAATACTGCAATTACTGGTGCAACACCATTCAAAATACTGATGCAAGAATCACACTACACACAAACACACAATTTGAATGCCAGTTGCATATTTGCAATAAAATGCAAATATTTTTCTTAAGTGCTTATTGTTTTTTTTAAAATGTCCAGAAACATTAGTAAACTGTATACTCAAGCCAAACAAAAATAAACATTTTAAAGCATTCCTGAGATGAACTTCGCATCAGGATCTCAGACATCGATACAAGTGTTCTTTGTTATTTGGAGTATCTGAATTTCTTCCCTGAAGCACAAAAAGCGGCCTCTTTTCAATTGTGTTCAATTGTGTGCACAGCCCAGATATGAATTTAAGTCCTACCTGCAGCAAAATAAGACTAGAACGAAGTCAATACTGCTTTAATCTAAGAAGCACAACCCTTAAGCAGCCACAAGGGATCCTTGTGAGCATCTGCTTGTCCTTACCACTTGGAAGCAATGAACGTTGATGCTTCTGGTGAAGTTTTCCTTTCAAAACCTGCATCGAAGCTTCCATGCTTTCGGCCGCTTGAGAGACAGCTTGAGTCTCTTGATATGAATATTTGGAAAGTGCCAAAAACTGTGAAGGAGCCATTGTATCATGTCTTTCGAGAAGCCTACATAAGAAAGAAATAATGGTGATTAAAAACCCTTTAATTATGCTGTCATCTCTTAGGGTTTTCATGGGTGCGCTTACTGCTCCATCATTGTTTATCAGCTTCTCTTTGTGGGTATTTTAAATACATTTTTCTTTCTCTGTTCAATCACATTCCTGGCCTTTAGATTCAAGAGTTCTATTTCTACTTCAGTCTGTGCTTCCTATCATAGACTGCAAAAGCTGTTCATGGTATATTTATTGTATGCATTTATTATACTCTGTTTAACATACATAAACGTAGAACTCACAAAGGGTGGAAAATGTTTTAATTTGCTGGAAGCCACAAAGAGAAGCTGGGGCAACCCATGAGATGGACGGCAAAACAAATCTATTATTATTATTATTATTAAATCCATAATTTGGTTCATTTTATTAGATCTGAGAGCAGATAGATATGCGAGACACTGGACATTACATAGAAACAGTATTTCTAGAGGGATTTTTGTGCCAGTAATGACTGGCAGTGTTAATGTTAATTGTAAACAAATAAGTGTGTGTTCAACACCTGGTACATGGGGGGGGGGGGACCCAGTAAAAATAATGCAGTCTGAAAGGAAGAAAAACTACAAAAGAATCTATTTCCCTATTAGGATTCAAGTTCAAGCTGAGGTCACAAATGAAACTTGTTCACTCAGCGCAAGTTCTTCCAAAACTTAGTTCATTAAATCAGCAAACATAACCCTGAAATCCTTTCTATGGAATGATTAAGAGCTTCCCAATCTGAAACTGGATGAGAAACTGCCTCTTCAACCCAGGAGTGCTTTTTCATCCTCAAGGGCAGTGCTGAAACTCATTTGTATTGTACTGCCTCTTGCTTCAGTTATTTGCGAGCTAAACATTTGGGTTTTCACAGTGCTGTGCACCCTGTTACTTTCTGAAGATCAAATCTGAAATATGCACTTTCTCCTTCCTTCATTGTTTCCCACTCTGCCGCCCCCCTCCCTTTCATAGTTTGAAAGTTCTTGGTCTCAATGCACCACTGATGCTTCAAAATCAAGGCTTATTAAACTTTGGTAAAGAACACCCCTTCAGGGCACGAATTAACATTGTTCAGCATGCTCTCCCCAAACATTGCTGAGAATTTGGAACATACTCTCAGGTTAATGACTTGTAGATTACTTAAAACAGTGCAAATTTCTATTTTCATTCACGCAATTTAGTGAATGTTCAGTGCAATGTTTTTTGCTGCTCCCACACAGCTGCGATATTAAGTTTACACCTGTACATACATCTGTTAGAAAAAATTTAAGGTGCATACACATAGCAGACACACTCTCCACAGAAAACCAACCCTTCACCCTTCAAATTTTAGGAAATATTCCTTGAGAAAATTACACATTATTTTAGCACACACAACAATCCCAAAAGCAATCTTGGCCCTTCTTATAACTCAAGTATTTCCTCTGCAGAAGGAAATATCTTGGAGAAACCTTTCCCAGTAGGTCTTTTCACTTACAAATCCTGTTTTAAGGGCATATTTTGTGTATGAGTAAGGTATGCCTGCAAGAACTACAGTATTTACCATTTCAAAAGAATGGCCAGGCTGCCCAGGTAATGCAGTCAGCAAAACCATTTTAGGTACCTTGACAGACAGGAGAGAGTCACTCTCAAATCTTTGTTGTAGACAACATTGATCTATCTCACTCAATGGATCATCACCTTGTTGTGGTGAGTGGGTTTGCACGTTCCTATGACCCTTGTGAGGGACGTGGGTGTCGCTGTGGTCTAAACCACTGAGCCTAGGGCTTGCTGATTGGAAGGTCGGCGGTTTGAATCCCCACGATGGGGTGAGCTCCCGTTACTCGGTCTCAGCTCCTGCCAGCCTAGCAGTTTGAAAGCATGTCAAAGTGCAAGTAGATAAATAGGTACCGCTCCAGCGGGAAGGTAAACGGCGTTTCCGTGTGCTGCTCTGGTTTTGCCAAAAGCGGCTTAATCATGCTGGCCACATGACCTGGAAAAACTGTCTGCGGACAAACATCGGCTCCCTCAGCCAGTAAAGTGAGATGAACGCCACAACCCCAGAGACATTTGCGGCTGGACTTAACTGTCAGGGGCCCTTTACCTTTTAATACCCTTGTGAGTGAAGCCATTGGGAGTTTCATACTCCCTGCAGGGTCACCCAAGGCAGTAAGGTCATAGGGGAGGAAGTTAGGCAAAGAATGGTCCAAAAAGTTCTCAACGGCAGAACAGGTAGAAGATAACAAGCGGTATGTTACGACGGCTGTGAAGGCAGATGAAGGATGCAGCAGATAAGAATCCACTGGTCGTCATGATACTCATGCCATTGGAATTACTGCTTATGGGACTTCCGGGGTGGCGCCACCGGCAATGGCGGACTCCCTCTGAACTGGAGGGACTAGCTCCGCATGAAACGGGTCTTTTCCGCTGCGGCGTAGCGGGGACCCTTCTGGAAATCACAGGCGGATGAAGCCTGTGACCGTGGGACTCGGCGGGCACCCTTAGCGCCCCCCCAACCCACAAAGGAACCCACAAATGGGCTCCAAAGTGAAGAGGGGGAAGTGGCGCGGTGCTGTGAGTCAATTGCTTTTTCTGCGGAGCGAAGCCGCATAGTCGTTGCCGGAGAGCGCTGCCTTTTTCCTGGGACAATTTGGCATTTAAAACAACCAACTGTGAGTACTGGAACATTGAATATTTGGACTTCAAATAAGAACTGGCGAAATAAAAAGGAATTTGGACTTAAAAATTAACCCTAATTTGGTACTGAAACGGGAAGGTTTAAACAGGAAGTCACCCTTCCATTTCCTTGTAGTCAGAACAAAGCAAAGACAACACAAACTAGAGCCTTAAAAATCACTTTTAAAGGATCGAATTTCATCATTTAAAATCGCTGAACCCCCCTTCGGTAGCAGGAGAAGAAGTGGGATCTTTTCTGAGCTGTTTAAACCTGCAGAAGTGAATCTAAAGCAAAGTAATTTTCCACCGTCCTGACCCTGGAGCGGGGTGTCAGAATTGACGTTTGAAGCTCATTGACCAGAAACAAATGTCTTTGACAGATAGTTAAAAGAAGAGAAACATTGTGACTCCATTGTTTCCTTTCGTCTTTTAAAAGAACAAATATGGACAAAATATCTTAAAAAAGAAACTTTGTTGCTATTGTTTTCAAGAAAAAGAACAACCAGAAGTTTTTCCCCCTAGAGGGGAACTGTGAAATTGTAACTAATTCCTGGGAACTTGCAGCTGTCACTGATTACAACTGTGGGAAAGGATTTGTGACCTTGTAGGACAATGTCTTCAGAAGCACTGTTGGGTGCTTTCTGTAAAATAAATGCCCTATTGGATCAGTTAAGTCAGAAGACGGATTTCATGACTAATGCGGCCAGAACCTTTGAACAGGTAGTGGGAAACTATATGGAGCCCACCCAGGAATCAAAACAGGAGCGTGCCATGACAGAACAACTGAAAGAAGAGGACCTTGCTGAATCTTGGGCGCCAGAGATGGAGGGAGCTGCGGCCCAGCAGGAATATAAACTTTTGGATTTGATAAATGAACTTGGAAAAAACCAGACTTGGAAAGATAAAATCTGGTTTGGTTTGGAAATGGGGGGTTGGATAGACCCCCCTTTACAGGGAGATTTGGACTTTTCAAGTCTGGAAAGGGGCCGTCAGATGTTTGGAGCTGTGGGGGCTCTCAACTTTGAAGGGAATCTGGAGCATGCTTGTAAATACTACATCGAGCCTATCCTGGACTATGGAAAAGGGATTGTCTTGCTGAAAAGGGTCAAAAACACTATCAAGCTGGAGTTCCCACGAATAAAAGGGAAATATAAAGAAGAGTTACGGAAGGGACATGGAAGAGACTTGAGGGCCTCGGATATAAGATTGCCAGGTTAATGTGCTAGATTAATAGGATAAAAAGGACTGACAAACCCGGGACCAGGAGGAAGGGATGTTGGATGAAGACTGGATTGCTTTTTTCTTTTATTTTTATCATTAGGACTGTTTTATAAAATTGATGAATGTTAGGAAAATGTTGAAATGAAATTATTTGGCTCTTATAAAAATGTCTAAAGAATTAGGTAAGAATGTTATGGTTTAGGAGAAGTTGGTAAAAATTAAGTTTTAAACTTTAAGGTTTTCTATAAGATAAGATGAAAATAGATCAAGGTAATGTGATGACAGAATACTATGAATTATGGAAAGGATTTGCTGTGATTATTATAAAACAGGATACAGGAAAAGGGAGGAGGAGGAGGTCAAGGAAAGAAGGTATTGAAAGTGGAGAATTGGAGAATGATGGTTTTATTTTTTATTATTTTTCTTTTTCTGTCTTGTTTTTTCTTTTGTGTAATTTTTTTAAAAACTCTTTTTTCAATAAATATCATTAAAAAAAAAAGAATTACTGCTTATGAAAAGCTTGGCCTATCGCTCAACATTCAAAAAACCAAAGTGTTGCACCAAAAAGCACAAAACAACCTTTCTGCAATGCCATAAATCCAGCTCAATGGTGTAACGTTGGAAAGTGTCAATCACTTCTCCTACCTGGGCAGTTATATTTCCACAAGAGCCGACACTGATGCTGAAATCCAGCATCGCCTGAGATCTGCAAGTGCAGCTTTCTCCCGACTGAAGTGCAGAGTGTTTGAGGACTGGGACATTTGCGGGGAAGCCAAAATGCTTGTTTTCAAGGCTATTGTACTACCAACCTTACCGTATGTCTGTGAAACATGGACCACTTATAAATACCATCTTCAACTCCTTGAAAGGTTCCATCAACGGTGTCCCCGAAAAATGTTACACATCACTTGGGAAGACAGGTGAACTAATGCCAGTGTACTGGAAGAAGCAAAGATCACCAGTGTCGAAGAAATGATTCTTCAACATTGACTTAAATGGTCTGATCATGTTGTTTGGATGCCTGATTATTGTATTCCACAGCAACTACTCTGTTCTGAACTTAAAAATGGAAAGCTGGTGGTCAGCAAAAGAGGTTTAAAGACTCTCTCAAGGCAAATCTTAAAAAATGTAGTATGAACACTGACAATTGGGAAACAATGGCCTGCGAGGGCTCCAATTGGAGAACAGCCTTTACCAAAGGTGTCATGGACTTTGAAGACACTCGAACTCAGGACAAAAGGGAGAAACGTGCCAAGAGGAAGACACATTTGGCAAACCCTCACCAAGAACAACTCCCACCCAGAAACCTATGTCCCCACTGTGGAAGGATGTGTGGATCCAGAATTGGCCTCTACAGTCACTTAAGGACTCACTGTTAAGACCATGTTCATGGAAGACAATCTCTTTTTTTTAAAAAAATAATTTTTATTAACTGGCCAATCACATCAAATTAAATCATATCACATAAATTCCGAATTACTAAGCCGAATTTTAAATTTTGTTGGGGGGACCCATATTTCAAGATCCGAAGGGGAAGACAATCTCACTCAGCTACGAGTGATTGCCCTAGAAGTTGTGATGTATGTATGATGCTTTTAGGGTGGTCTTTGACCAAGGGGTGGGGCAACATATACAGTCTTTAAAGGGGCTTGTACAATTTTGTTCTGCGTCTGTCTTACCTCCTTGCAAGGGGGGGGGGACTCTATTGCAACAGAAAAATAAAGATCTGCCTTTCTTTTCATTGGATCCTGCCTCTATCCATTCTTCTCTGACTGATCATGGACTGAGGAGACCCAGAGTCCCTTGGGGAGCTGGGCAGCAAAAGCCAACCCCCAATTTATCTATACCACCTCTGAGTGTACAAATAATACGTTGATCCCGTTTATTTATATATTGCCTTTAAGCCCTGCTTTTCTTCCAGGCATATCAGTTGGCATGTGTGGTTCTCAACTCTTTTATCCTCACAACAATCCTATGGGTTAGGTTAGGCTAAGAAACAGGGACTGGCCCATGATCATCCAATGAGCTTTAAGGATTTGTACCTGGGTTTCCTCCAGCTCTCCTCTGGAACCACAACACAGTTTAATAGTTTGTTGTAAGTTATGTGGGGCTTGTTTTGCTGCAAGTTGCAGTTACAAAGTTGGAAGAATTAGAATACTTAACAGAATTTCTTGCCACGAGCATAGATTCTAATCATCCATAAGATGCTCATTTTCTACCACCCTCGTGGTTTCTGTGCCTGCATGATCTGGAATCAGTGCTTTAATCAGTATAAATCTTTTTCTCCACTTTAAGCCTATTATTGTAATCCAGAGTCCCATATGTAAATTATGAAGTGCAGAAGGCTTTTTTTATTATTCTGTCCTGCCTTGATGCAATTGTAAGGTGAATGTAGACAGGAAATTCTGTAAGCAGGCACCTGCAAGAGATCACTGAGCAAGGCCAGGTATGAGGTTGCTATCTCACCTTTCTCTTCTTCTGGCTGTTTCTTCACCTTGGATGGAAGTGGTTTCCTGCAGAGTTCTCCTAATTCCATGCTCTTTTGCTTTTCCTATACATGTTTAAAAGAGAGTCACCACAGGACCAAAGCATAATTTGACATAATTTGTAATAGCAATACACAAAAGCATGCAGCATGCCATGAATTGGACATAGGTCAGCGTAGGTCAGCCTAGGGTGAACATCTGGATAAGCGGAAAGCCGGGAACAGGCTATCTCTGCCACCCAAATGCCCCCCTGGACTCAGGCACAGGCACAACCCCCTCTCAGGGGTTGACCAAACCATCGTGTCCCTGAAGTCCTTTAACGGAATACACTTCACATAGGGATGGCGAGAGCGTTCTCCCATCCCTATCACCTGAACCAGAGCCTATCCGCAACCTTACAAAGTTGTGACAATTTGCTACACAGCAGGCGAAACCCAAATGGCAACAGCCAATCAGCCAAGTGGGGAAAATTCCTGCTGTACCCCTGTCTCAATGACAGATGACACACGATGGCATAGCAAGGTCAAGCGCACAAGCCCTAAAAGTAGGGAGAGGTGGGCGGGTGTTCCAAATGCACAAGCCGAAAGAGGAAGCTCTGGGTCACGTGCATGGGCATAAATAGATCCCGTGATCCATTTAGCTTGCGTCCCATTGGCCTGATCAAACCCAGCATCAAGGAACCTACCAATTGGGTGTTGTGGCTATCCAATCATACCCATCCACAACACAGGGTTAGGTTGCCAGGTCTCACTGCAACACGTGCCCTCTTTAAGGGAGGACCCGATTTGTGGAATGCTCTCTCCAGGGAAGTTCACATGGAGCCTTCATTATATATTTTTAGGCACTAAGCAAAAATGTTCTTCTGCAACCAGGCCTTTGGCTGATTAGTACCTTACAGATTGGGGTGGTGTGTATTTTTTTTTGTTTTTGCTGGATACAGCAGGGACTTTTGCAGCAATGGAAACTCCCTAACAGCAGAGCCAGCAATGAGGATCTAGGGCAGGCACCCCCAACCTTCGGCCCTCCAGATGTTTTGGACTACAATTCCCATCATCCTGACCACTGGTCCTGTTAGCTAGGGATTATGGGAGTTGTAGGCCAAAACATCTGGAGGGCCGCAGGTTGGGGGTGCCTGATCAAGGGTTTGGAACGTTGTGTAAGACTCCTAACTGCTGCAGCTAGTGGACCACATCAATACACAGTTAGGAATGGGACCCTGATGTTAAGGCTTTCTAAAGATGGAAGTAATAAATGAAGTGTGAATTCCCAAAAAATAGCATGCCATGAGATACAATATAATTTAAAACTACACATTCAGAACTTTATCGGGACAGAAAAGGTGAATGACTTTTCTTTACCCCAAACAGGGGAATAAAATCCTATAAAAATTCTCAATAAAGTAAACCAAGAGGTGTTTTTTTTTTTAAAAAAAACAATATTAGGGCTCCCCCCTCCAAATACATCAAATAATACTTAGGGCATTATGTGTGCCCCTCTTCCCCCTGTATTGTAAAGAATGTTTTCATTTTTACTTACTGAATAAGTCATTCCTGCCCCATTGGACCAAAGCAAGGAAAACAGCCACACTGACCATTGTTATTAAAATTATGAAGAAAATGAATACTCTCATCTGAAAAATAATGAAAGCCGTACAGTGAATGAAACTAGGACTACAGTTTATAAAAGCAGCATATACAGTACATTAGTTTTCTAGCTGTGCACAATTTGATCCTATTTCAGTCTCTTTAAATATTCAAGTAATCAGAAGTTTAACCTTCACCATCCAAATCTGTGTAAAAATAAATAAAATGAGATACAAAAGTTGAAACAAACTGATTAAAGGTTTTCTTACAATCAAGTGACATATTTTTTGTTAAATTAATAAATAACTTATATTGCATAGAGTTTAATTAACAAAGGAAAACGGGCACAGAGTGAAACGAGATAGCAGAGGTTTGCTTAAAATAAACATTTCAAATAAAATGCCTCCCATATTCCAATTAAACTTCAAAACAGTACACATAATTACATTATTATGTTTTATTTGCTTAAAAAAAACCTTGAAAACTTTCTAGATTGAAATCGCTGTAATTCAGAAGAATCACATTAAAGCCAATGCATGTTGTTTGTAGGAAGTTGGTTGTTGGTTGCAGCTGGAGGGGGAAAATGCATATTTTATAGATGAACATAATTTACACTACATAATTAAACCTAAAGGCACATGCTTTTGGAACAGAGCTTAACCGTGGTTCATTTACGCCCTTTCATCAGTTGATAACTGCAACATCAACCTCCACATATTAACCTCAATATCAACCTCAACATCAACTTCTACATATGCCTCTGCTATCTGTGATCTAGTACCAAAGACAAAATTTCAAGATCACCTCAGCGCTTTTCAGTGGAGCACTCCTATGCCATTATAAATCAAGTCTATGGTAACCAGTTCAGGAGTAGAGAAACTACTCAACCCATCTTAAAAGTTTGGTTTTACCTTTGCAATACGCTGGTGAAAAATCCTGCATGCATATTTAATTGTCACACTGCTTGTGTGTATATGATTTGAAAATCCCTGCATGAAATAGTACCCACAAGAAACACACAACAAAGGCGTGTTTTTACGTATTTCAAGCTAAAAATGTGGGCTCCAAGAAACAAAAGTTTTAGAATCTGACCTTTTTTCCTGCTGAAGTTCTGCAGCTGTGTTGTTTATCACTGGCACCAATTCTCCTGAAACACTACAGCGAAATCCTTTCCAAGGCTCCAGCCTTCAGTATAAACTTGCTCTATGCACGAATAAGCCTGCCAGTCTTTAGTATGAACTAGCTGTACACTTCTGCTCGAGTCCTGCTTTGTAGGCTTCTCATGGGCATCTTGTTGGCCACTGTGAGAACTGGATGCTGGACTACATCACTCTTGGCCTGATGCAGAAGGGCTATTCTTACGTTCTTACTGAAAGTGATTTGATGCACTGCTGTTGGCCCATTTTATTTCTATTTTTATGCATATAACACAGCATTTCATCTTCATGGTTTGCGTTCCAATAATTGGTTTATTCTACTCCACTAATATTGCACGGCCCACTTCCCTTTAGTTTGGAATTTTGGAGTTCCAGATTTTTGGACTACGTTTTAACCTGAGATGTATTTGCAGAGGAGCAGACAAGATGGTTGGCTCAGGGCCACAGGTACTGAGAGTGGCATTTGCATCACCGTTGGTTGGGTGCCCCATGTGCCACCTGTTATGTACTGAAGTTCTCACCCTGGGCCAGCAAGGGGATACTGTAGATAGTTTTCACTCAGGTCTACATACGCAAATAAGGAATTGAAAGTGACGTTCAGTGATTGGATAGTTACAGAAAGTTGTTACTGTTGCATTGTAGTGGAGCTCTATATAAACAGGCTGGCTGAACCCTTCAGTTCAGTTCTGTTCTGGCCTATGAATAAACAAGAGCTGTTTGAAGAAGCGCTGTGTTGTCTAATATGTTCACCCACAACTTAACACCCACAGTGTGAGCTGTGTGAAGGGGGCCTCTGCATGGCAGCAGTGAAGGAATGCCCTCCATCCCACAGGACAATTAAACCCTCCTGCTCCTGGTTGGGCATTAGAGAGGGAGGAGATGCAGCATTTGACATGCTGACCAGATGTTTAATTAGAGTTTAGCCCTGCCCTGCAAGTTGATGAAGGACTGGATCTGGGTAAGGGCAGTGGTTCCCAAGTCAGCCTGGATTCCGTTGGGGCATGGTGGGAGAGGATGTGCATATGAGTGTGTGAATAACAAATTGCTGCAGGAACGTGGAGAACTGAATTACAAATTGGAAACAATGAAAGAAATGGAATTGCCAGGTCCTTCTATCCCTGTCTAGAAGCTCATGGCAAATAATACTATGCAGCACGAAGCGATTGGATGCACAAAACCTTACTCCTTTTGGAATAAAAAAAATTGTCCAGACCCATAATTCTGATTCAAAGCTTTAACAAGAAGAACTTCTTCAAAACAGGTACAAAAACAGTCAATGATACATCCTGAATAATTCCACAAAGCATATGCTTTATCCAAGCATAGATGATTCTTCTTAAATATATAACAAAATTAGAATCAGAGCAAAAGCAAAGTGTGTTGTGAACCACGGGGTACCTGGTGGCAAGTCCAGCTGGTATACACAATCCCAAGGCAGATACTAATGTGTAATCCAGCAGGTCAACAGGTCCAAAGTCCAGTCAGATCAGATTCCTGCCTTTACAGCCAATCCAGGGGTTAGGGCACCTGGAGGTCAGTCCCACACAAGCACAGTCCCCAAGAGCTCCCCGGAGCAGCCAAGCCATGGGAAGTTGAGCAGACCCAGCACCTCACTTCTGCTCCCCTTTTACACCTTGCATGCTGATTGCAGCATCTGGGCTTGACAAGGCAGGTGACCCTCACCTGTCCTGAGCCCACTCCAGGTGACGAATCACACACCTCCTTCCCGAGCCAATGAGCTCCACCTGGGCTGAGGGCCCTTACCTGCCTCAGCCTCCTACAGCATATCTCCTGCTGCTCCTTATGTCTCAGAGCCAGCCGTGTTTGTGGAGAGAGGGGCTCCTCTGGCTCTGGTGAATGGGTCCTGCTGCTCTGGCTCCTGTGCACTGACCTCCATCCCCTCACCATCATCTGTCATCATCATCTTTCTCCTCCTCGTTGTCCTGCTAGTTGATGACACTGGGGAGGAGAAAGCAGGAACCTTCAGTGGCAGAGGTAGTGCTGGCTGGCTACCATAGCAGCGGTCACTTAGCAGCAGGTCATGAGGCCTAGCAGGGATGTATTTTGGGAGGCAGAGTTTGGGAGCTGAGGTAGGGAAATGGTTCCCAAATCAACGTAGGTTAGGTTGGGGCAGAGTTGGGGAGATTATGTATAGGCTTAAAAATAATGCAGTGCACTGTATTAGGGCAGATTGCTTGAATAAATATGTACATTAATCAAAACTGCTGATGGGTATGTATGCCTGTATCACAAATTGCTGCAGAAATGTGAAGAACTGAATTTCAAATTGGGGGGAAATGAACAATTGAAATAACTGAAATTGACAGGCCCTTCCCAGAAGCCCATGGCAGATATTATTGTGCAGCATGAAGCAATTGGATGCATAAAAGCTGACTCCTTTTGGAACAATAATTGCCCAGACCCATAATTATGATTTAAAGCTGTACTAACCAGAACTTCTTCAAAATTGGTACAAAAACAATCAATGACACAGCCAGAAAAATTCCATAAAACATATGCTTATTGAAGCATAGGGTCGTCTTCTTAAATATATAACCTAACTACAATCAGAGCAAAAAACAAGGCTTTGTCTCTCCCTTAGCCTGCATCCAGCCTAAGGCTACACAGCTCCTGAAGAGGCACCATTATCACATCCTTCTCCCAGTGTGCCTGGGAACAAATAATGAATGAAGATTTGCAAGTGAACACCTTAATCTAGGGCTGCCACATGTCTGGAATTTCATGGACATATCCAGGATATGTACATTGCGTCCGGGAGGTTAAAATGTCTGGGGAAACCCGGGTGTATGGCAACCCATTTTGGAAGTGTTGATTGATTTATTTATTTGCTGAATTTCCTTAAAAAAAATAGCTCAAAATCTCTATTTTTCTGAGATTTTGCAACAAACAAACCCTACCTTTATCGCACGATCTAACTCAAACGAGAGCTAGCAGAGAACACCAACAGTTAATCATTAAGCCAGCTAAAAGCTCAGAAAGCTCTTTCTAGTTTAGTATACGCCAGTGGAATTTTCCAGTGATAAACCCTTAGCAACATACAGGCATTCTCTATTTCAGTGTGCAATTAAACAATTATACATAGCAAAGCCACAGAGCAATGATTCTTTTTAGCTGATCGGTGCATAGCTGCTCCATTTTTTGCAGATACCCTTCCCACTGGGAAATGGACAATCACCCCCAAGACGCCTGTGATGTTGCCGACCAATATCTAATTTCCTGTTGAGAAGGGTGCCTAGAAGAGATAGCAGAGGGCAAGTCCTTTGTGCTGCTATGCTGCTAGCTCCCTCTTGCATTGAAAAACGGGAGTCTAGCCCAGCATGCTGGCTCAGTGATGGATCTTCTGCCAGACTGGGCCTTAAAATGCTGACCCCTTACAATGGTTCTGGAAGGAAAAGTAGTTCAGGCATTGCAACCTAATCATTTGTTAGAGCTGAAGTGAGAGGCCTGGGGCAAGTAAACCTATTTCCCTCCCATGAAAAAGGAGATGGCATAAGGCAAGAATACATCAGGTAAATGTTTCAGAAAGCCATGCTTGTCAGCTGTTTCTGCTTCTTGGACCCATCCCTGGATATTATAGTTCAACAGGCTAGCTTTATCAGAAGTAAACATTAGATAGATGAATGTGCTTCTCCTCTAGATGAACAAAATAGTGAAAGCAGTTTCATTTCAGCTAACTCATTAAATAAAAGGCTTTAACGATGCATTCTCAAATAGGTTGTAAGCACTGTTAAATACTTATAAGGCTTTAGCTGTTCTTGCATTTTCAGTGAGGGCTGAAACATGTCAAATATACTTTTGTTGGGCTCTTAAAAAGGCAACCTCCCATCTATAGTTGCCCCCAAAAGAAAGAAAACCTCTCCTCAAAGCTGCATCAAAGCATTCTCATTAAGCTAAAGGAGAATTTCCCCTGTGTCAACATTTTTGTTTACAAAGCACCTCAACCTCTTCAGTGTTTGAGGCTGAAGTGTTTATCAGTTCAAACAGCATCCAAGAGGGGAGTTTTGACTTGACAGCCATCTGTACCTGTTTTTAATTAATTTTGAGAAACAGAAAGCCTTTCCCCCACCCCCACATTTAGTTTCTACTGAAAGCCAAACCTAGGCTGAGCACAGGTTTAGGCCTGCTTCAAAATGGAAAGGCTGTCTGGGAGAACCTGACCCTAGCCGCTCATTTTCAAATATTAGGACCTTTCGGAGAGAAGACATGAAACACTTAATTTATCATTTAACAAATTTCAGTAGACGCAGACCCTGCCATGTCTCTGAATGCCTTCAAACTGTCAGTATTATGTGGGAGGGATCATTCAGGTGCATACTGTTAAGTTGTGGGTGAACATATCGACGACACAGCGATTCTTCAAACAGCTCTTGTTTATTCACAGGCCAGAACAGAACTGAACTGAAGGGTTCAGCCAGCCTGCTTATATAGAGCTCCACTACAACACAACTGTAACTATTTTCTGTAACTATCCAATCACTGAACGTCACTTTCAATCCCTTATTTGCATATGTGGACCTGAGTGAAAACTAACTACAGTATCCCTCTGCTGGCCCAGGGTGAGAACTTCAGTACATAACACATACCAATAAATTTAGGCTGTGCGATTAAAAGGAATTAAAGCACTCTTGTCACCCTGGCGCAACAAATCCACTTAGAAAGAAACTGACTTTTTGCAGTTAAGAAAGTGATGGGGAAATGCATCAAAAAGTGTGAGATGAAGAGATGACCAAATTCAATCTGGGATGGATGCAACTGTCCATGTATGTTTCTCTTAGTTTCTCGTTTTTCCAGTCTTAAATGTGAGCACATGAGCACTCACAGCAGAAATTTCAGCCCCTTCACTCCTCCCCCAGCCCTCCTCCTGCTGCACTACCATGGTTTGGCTTGGCATCATGTCTAAATCCAGACACATCACAAGCTGTAGTCAAGGTTTGCTTTTGGCTTATCAGTTGTAGTTTGTCTGAGGGAGACAAACCATGAGCCCAGGGTTGGACACGATGCCAATCTAAACAATAGCTTGGCTCCAGGTAGCGTGGTAGCAGGATGACCAGGGGAGGAGTGAAATGGCAGTGATTTCTGCTGTGAGACTCCAGCGTTTGTGCTTAACCATGGTTTGGCTTGGTGGTATGTAGAAACTGGGCTTCTATAAACTGTGGAAGGCTAGTTTTGTTCTCACTGCAGTGCTGCTCCCAAGCATAGAGCTCTGCTTTCCCCTGCAGCACTGAATGTCAAGCCACTCATTTATTTGGGAGAAAGTCAACATGTGGATTCACGAAAACCACTGGGCAGCAGCTACAACTACCGGTACTCCTCTATCCCTGGTGACTCCAGCCATAACCTACAGAGTGTGACGGAATACTATCAGCTGTCTTTCATATGTAGATACTATCATTACAGTGGTACCTCAGGTTAAGTACTTAATTCGTTCCGGAGGTCTGTACTTAACCTGAAACTGTTCTTAACCTGAAGCACCACTTTAGCAAATGGGGCCTCCCGCTGCCGCCGCACTGCCAAAGCACGATTTCTGTTCTAAACCTGAAGCAAAGTTCTCAACTGAAGCACTATTTCTGGGTTAGTGGAGTCTGTAACCTGAAGCGTATGTAACCCGTGGTACCACTGTATAAGTTAAATGCCAGGGTTAGCGTTAGGAAATTCAAGGTTAGAAGATGCTTGAATATATGGGAGGAAAGGGATGAGGGCTTGTAAAAAAAACAAAAGCCACCACCACCTGATCATTGCCATTTTAGCCAAATCATGCCCCGCCCCCCCGTAGCTAAGGGGAGGTGGTCGTATCTTACAACCCCAGTTGGAGCTCTACTAGCTTTTGTCTCTATCTCCGACATTTAAAAGCTGTTAAGCGTTGGTGAAAAGCTGCCTTTACTACTTAGATTTTACTTTTCCTCCCCACTCTCTCTGTTATTTTGTGTGGCTGTGGTGTTATTTTTCTTGCAGACCTTCTATGGCTGGATGAGAAATCACATTTTGCAAATTATCTGATTTATAGCTGTGTTTCCCCCGCTTGGTTTGCATTAGAAGCGTGGCAGACTGAAAGAACCTGAAACTGCTCAACATATAATTGCTTTTAAAAAAACAAAAACCCAAAGCAATGGAGTTTCTTAAGAATCGAGATTTCCCTTATGTAGGTTAAATAATTTCTTTTGCTCTGCTAACGACTCAATTTAGTTTGGAGCCCTTTGTTTTTCTTTTTAACAACACCACTTTTCTTCTGCCCTTTGTGCTTTAATTGAAAGGCATTGATTCACAAAGCACAAACTCTTGCAGCTTTTCTTCAGTGGAAAGTTTGTGGGGAGGAGAAGCCTTGTATGTAAATCAATACCACATTGCCTAAAGACTAAAAAAACAACAACCAAAAAACAAAAGGGTCCCATCTGTCCCATTCATGTAGAGCATTCTTGTGCCACTTTTTATTTATAGCTATTTTTAAAATGTATAGAGACTTATACAACCCAAATGGCTTCTGAGTGGATTTAGCAACCATGACTTCCTCCCATGTAAGGCTTGGTTTCCAGACCCTTGATCATCTTGGTTGCCTTCCTCTGCACATGTTCCTGCTTGCTAAAATCTTTCTTAAATTGTGGTGCCCAGAATTGGACACAGTATTCCAGGGGTGGACCAGGTGTAGTCTGACCAAGGCAGAATAGAGTGGTACTGTTGCATGCACACGAAAGCTCATACCAATGACAAACTTAGTTGGTCTCTAAGGTGTTACTTATGGACGCGGGTGGCGCTGTGGGTTAAACCACAGAGCCTAGGACTTGCTGATCAGAAGGTCGGTGGTTCGAATCCCCGCGACAGGGTGAGCTCCCATTGCTTGGTCCCTGCTCCTGCCAACCTAGCAGTTCGAAAGCACGTCAAAGTGCAAGTAGATA